AAAGAGTTTACAATTGAGTTTCGTATTAAGAATTAAGAACATTTAAACAGACCATTAATTAAAATCAAATTATAATGCATAGAGCTAATTTGTAATAAATACCTACACAGTTAATTATTGTATAAAAACACATCACACATACAATATTCTAGTCTTTTGTTTAGCAAATTCAAAATAGAGAGAACTGAACATATGGTGAACTATGCGCAAGTAATAAATATGAGTTTATAGAGAATAATAGTATATAATAATAATAAACAGAAATACAATATTCAAATAATAAAACCACGGCCAAATCTTGTCTCAGAGTTTAAGTGAAAAAATCTCACAATAGATATGGTAATTGGTTTAAAAGTGCCACAATTATCTGATCTTTATGTCTAAGGCTGATTATAGATGCATTTACAATATCTCGTTAATAATAAATACGCTTTTTAACAAGTAAACCAGTATTATATAGAAGTTAGTAACAATTTTAGATTTAAAAGTGCCAAGCCTGTCTCTACAAAGGGTCAGAGTGGCCATGACCGCTTACATGGTCTAGCCCTTACTTAATTGATTTATAATTCAGCTTGTGTATACAGTTGTTGACCGTGGTTTAGAAACTGAAATGCAGTACTATATCAGTGTATTCATTACCCAACAATTACCAAACTTCTGCAAAATTATTGTTAATCTATTTTATGAATACGATTTCATGTAGGAACTTCCAAGTGTATTAAATTTTGTAAGCTAAACGACGACTACTCAAGCTCTACATTAATAAGAAATATTCCTACGGAACTATTAAACATTACTACACTTATAATATCATATCATTTTGAACTAAATAGAACCTACTTCAATGCCAATATAATCAAAAAATAAATCTTATAAGCTATACCTTAAGAACATATTATAAGCAATCAATCAACAAATATTATGTATGATTTACATCATATTTGCAATTTACAAATTAATCCCCACTACAGTAACCTTGCTCTGATCGTGTTTTGTCGGGTCCAACGTTATTAAAAAGTATGCACATATTGACACATTTATAATCAAATGCGTAATATAGGTACCGTAATTTTCTGAAACCAAATATTAAAAATCTTCCACTTGTTCCTTTTTAAGTTTGGGGTGGCACGGTTCTCAAAGAACAAGTCTCCGAAAAAAAATTGCGTAATGAGAATAGATTAAAAATCTACGAGAGTTGTAAAGTCAATATGACTTTACAACTCTCGTAGATTTGTAGAGATTGTAGAAAATTTGTAGAGTTACTAAAGGGTAAGGAACGTAAAAGAGAAAGAGGATACTGAAAAAAGTAGGAAGAAGAAAATTAGTGAATGCTTAATGAGTTCAGTGCTTTGGGTATTTCAGTTTGGTATAATTCTAGGAGAGGTACTATTGACGTCCTGTTGATTTAGCCATTGCTGTTGTGGCCAACAGTTTAAAAAACCTACGTCAAAGAGCGACAAGTCAGTCCGTCCTAGTTTTTTGAATGTAATGTAAAGTCTATGTAACTAAACATCATCACGGAAGTCTTCGTTCTCTTAAGATCCACCGTAGCAATATTATACACAAAAACCCAGCAAAAAGCTTAGTCTTGCAAACAAATATCTTACACACTCTACAACTTTAAAAAAAACATATATAGAAGACTACTACCCCTAGTTGTATATCACTAATTTCAGGCATTATAGACAACGGTCTAGAAAAAATTTATTTGCAACAGTCTTGACAAATTAAGGTAGGTCCTGGTCACACAGGTATTAATGGCAATAAAAAAATCTGAAAAGAGACGAGACAACAAAGAGATAAAAGACGAGTATAAGTCTAAAACACGCCAAAGCGAAGGTCAATAATAACACGATATGGGAAGAGCGTCTAGACCTTAAAAGATAGAAAACCTGTACAGTAACAGGGACCCCACCTGGACACTATCCGGGTTGGGTCAGGTACAAACACATGTCCAAGCTAAAGATGGCCAAAGGCATAAAACGCAGATTCTGCCAAGAGGTAGAAGAATCTGCATATTATATGGTCCACTAATGTTACATAATTTCCAATAGTAAATATGCATAATATTTATTTAATATAATATATTTTTCCACTACGTAATTTGCAAGTTTTATAAGAAACAAGAACCAAATTGAACACACTGAAATCAAATTAATTTTACAAAATTTAATTGTAGTTACATACTTTATCATGATTCGACATTTACTTTAAAACAGTTTACATCAGACAGTATCTACTGTCTATAGTACCGACTACAACAAACTCTAATCCCTATATTTATTATTCCTACATAAGCATGAATACTTTGTACTAAAACCACTAGAAATAGAAAGCTTCAAAGGTTTTCACTCTTAGCTATAAGCAGTCGTAAGTAGTAACTAAATCCTATAAATAATTATATTGGAGTTATTTTGCTCGTTAACTTCTATAAACAATTAACCAGTAGAATAACTTCAACTAGCTTAATTTTTACCTTTGAACTAACGTCATTTACGAATGTTATACTTCTCACATATTTATAGATAGATAGTGACATCCGACAGTATTAATATATATATATATATATATAAAATGCACACAAAAAGTTACCAGCAGTTTACCTAAAGAACATATAAAATACAGGTTTCAAAGGTCAATACTTAAAATGACATAAAAGATAATCATTATTTTTCAAAATTTTGACTAATGATTATGTTTTCCGAGAGTCTTCACTATGACATTGTCTACAGTCGTAATGGCAGCAGTGCAGCCATACTTCTTCTTGATGCAGGTCCAGCGTACTTTGGATCCCCAACAGGCGTGCTTGTTAAAGCGCCATTCGCCAATTTGTACCACTAGGTTGCCACGTTGAGATAGGTCGAATTTCGGTTCTGGAACACATGTGTAATGTTAGCTAAATGAAGAAATACTATTTACTATACATAAAAAGCATGCAATTTCTTTTACAATAAATCCATGTAACCGATTCTCTGTGCGATGTTAGCGAAACAATAGTACAGTGAGAGAGTTCAATGTAGTACACATTTAATGGTATTTAAGAGGTATAAATACGAGTACAGAATATAAGAGGGTGTATTTTTTTTGGAAATAAACACGTTTTGCATAAACATAATAATTTAATGAAAATAAAGTTGAAGAGCCAAACATTTTTAAATTTTAAAAAACAGCAACATAAAAACTGTTAGGTACGTGAAAAATTATATAGAAAAAGTTCGTCTAATCGCAGGAAGACCGAATGTCTAGGAAACCCTGGGATTCTCGAATTCTCCCTTTTTTTCAAATGAAAAATGTATTTCTATTCTAAATAAAAAATCTTTCTTACATGTAATATAACAACAAACTAGTCGTCCGGATGTATTTTTAGCTGCATCCTGTCCAATTCTAGGTCTTTACTTGTGGAGTGCTAAAATTGGTTAAATATAAAACTTAAATGGGCGTATCTTTCAATTGCTCTGATCTTGATTTATTTTCAACTTAAATGGACTGCAACTATTGAACTATTATGAAAGAGTGAGCAACCGAACAGACGGATCACCTGATGGAAAGCGACTACCGCCGCTCATGAACGCCTGCAACTCAAAAGTCACTATCACGTTGCCGGCCTTTAAGGAAGGAGTACGCTCTTTTCTTGAATGTCACCCGTAATGTAAATGATAGTAGCATACCCAGAACCCGTAATGTTAATGATAGTAGCATATCAGAACATACTAATTTGATTATGCACCAGACATTACATATTTTTTGATAGGAATGGTGGCATAAAATAGACGGAATTAAAAAAAAACTGTTTTCTTTCCTTTCCAATAGTTTGCCTGCTGTATTAAGTTTTAATACCACACATTATTTATACTGGTCTACTGAGTACATTTAAAACAAATTAATATAAGCTGTGAGTACATTATTTCATTTAAATCTACAGACACATAGAACTACTAAAACGAATTATTACGAACGAACGATATTTGATTTAAATATTTTAACACAAAGACCTCTAAGTTTCCTCTTCTCACATATTATAACCATAAACTCCAGAATCAAAGAACGAACGAACTATGTCGAATATCCAAGTTAACATAAAACGAGAAACACTCTAAAGTTTAAAACTCTTTCATTGCTAAAAATTTATCAATTCTATAAAATATATAATCTAAACATAAATAATGTTATTGCCAACTAGTGATACACAGTGAAAGAAACAAAAGTCACAAACCGTAAGATGTAGTTTCAATGCGGGGCGTATGGGTATACCTTTTTTTTCTGTGTGGCAATCCCCTCGGATACCACCCACCGGTGGTTATGTCGGACTCGAACCGACCAAAAACCGCACGCCGTCTCGGGTACCAGTTGCCGGGTAACCAGGTGTAGCCTGGGAAGAAAATCCCTGATACCCCGACGTACCTAATACGGGGCGAATCTTGCGGGACGTATGGGCTCGTAGCCAAATTAAGACCCTAGGTGACCATTAGCTACCTACGTTACATTACGCGTTTATTTAAAAGTAACGAACAATAAACATTTACCTACCCGAAAATTTAACGTATAACTTACAGCTTTCTTTATTTTTATCTCAGATTGAATATACAATCTAGGTTACACCTATTATTATTATTTACAGTTGTCTAACATTACATAATATTATTAAAATAACTTAAAGTAAATTTAACGAAATGTTATACCATGAACGGCAACTGAATCTCTTCAAATATAAAATCATAAAATACAGTACCAACTTGTGGCACAATTCTAAAACCCCAACTGACCAACCGCAATTAAAAAAGAGTAAGACATCATTTCACAAGATGACTTTTGAATGTCGTCTATTTATTTTTTATGGTTCTTAAGTTGTTATATTTAAAATATAATTAAAGTTATAAAGGCATATCGCCTGTCAACAGTGTTTACAGGTCAGTACTAGCTCGCCAGCAAGTCGCATATGATACAATACGAGAGATAGTATGCAGTAAATGTATTATATAGACAACTCAAAACAGGATACATTAATGATTGTGCCATCCATTCAACTTCATGAGTCGGTTGTTGACAGTGACAGCTACACAACGACAGCCACTGCTTTTCCTAGCAGTGCATTCCCACCAGGTTTTCACTCGCCGAGTTAGTTTTTTAATAAACCGGTAATTGCCCCAAGCAATAATAGGGTTGCCAAATTTCGTCGTTCCGTAAATGAGAGGGCTGACTCCACACACTGAAAATCAACTATAAAATTAATCCAGGTTTTGGCTTTCTGTATCTCGCATACGTACGCCTACAAAAAAACTATACTACGTTCTTCATTCTCTCACTAAGTAAAGTAAAGCGGTATCAAAAAATGTAGTACATCGTACCAACTTTGAATTCAGGGTATGAATAAAATATTTAATAACTTAATCTCATTTTCAGACACCTCTGAGCTACCGACAAAACTACCATTACTTACCTGATGCTGATGTTCTTCTCAAGAGATTGTCGTATTCCATCATTATAATTACTTTTTAAAACAAGACAACAAATCAATGTGTATGGCTAACATTCATTTTAATAATATTCTCGTCTTCAGTAATAACAAAAGAATTACAACGTTCTCTAGTCTTGATACAAATCCACCGTTTCTTATTACCATATTTCTTCATTAGTTTGAAACGGTGTCCTGATACCACAAGGACAGGATTTCCTCTTTTACTTGTCGCAAAGAAATACTCCTCTGACTGTACAGAGACCTCCGAATCCGAACCTAAAATTAATATGTCTAAACTTAGTACACTATGATTACACTATTCTAATGATGTTTGCGGGAAGTAAATCTAGCATCGGTATGTAATTAAATGCTATAATGTAACAAAAAGAAGACAGTAAGATAATATAGTTTGAAAGTTTTAAACGAACACTTATTTTTTGGAAAGCGATGACCGTCATAATGACTTTAAAAAAAAAAGTATTGTTAACAAAAAAAACAACAAAAACCTTTTGAATAGAACTGTGTTCGTTCGTTACATGTTCGACGACAGTAAAAGAAGCTCAAGCAACTAAGTCTCTGCATCAGGAAAAGCTACATTTTGGTTTAAGATGCATTCTATTGCAACTTGGAAACATTTCAAGTCTAGAGATGAAAAATTAAAAGACAAAAATGACCTTATAGTTCCTTACCCTTTTTTGAAATTATTTTTGCGATTACCTAAAATGAGAATAAAATAAACCGAAATTTAAAAAAAAATCATCACAAGTAACTAAAAATAAAATATTTTGGTTTTGCGATATGTTTATTTTTATCACAATTAATTATAGCACTGAAACGCACTGCACTTACGTAGACGACCTTCATAATTATGTGAAAACATTCCTAAACAACTTGATCAATACATCTTTTAAATAATTAATGGTTATGCGTATCTAACTGTCGGATGACAGCATTAGCCATTGTAGTGATTTTGGCTCGACAACCTCTTGGTTGTTTTGTACATCTCCAGTTGACCAGAGGCGGCCGTCCGCCATGTTGACAGTATCGGTATGGTCCAAGACACAGTTGAGGTCTCCCAAGTCTCGACATACAAAACGATGGAATTCTATCTAAAAATTATCATTTTTACTTACAGATAAGTGGGAATCCAATTAAATTGAAGACAGGGAACTTGACAACTACCTTCACTTTATCAGGCTTAGACCCTCAAAAGATTAATAAGTATTACACCTGTCACAAGATCTCGTTTAAAAATAAGGAATAAATCAAAAGCAATCGCAAATCTTGTGTCTTTATGATATAAAAATGGCAAGTCACACTATCTTATATTTTAAGAGATCATTTAAAATACACCTACTTTCTACGATATTTACCGATACTAAAATAAATATGTTATATTACATATTGTAAGTAAAATTACAAAACACTGTCTCAAAATGGTAAACAGAATATTAAGAATATTAAAATTATTAATACTGAAGATATCTGTAGATATCAATCTAGACTGTATGGCGATAAAATATATCTCGATACAAAATACAAGTACATATCATATCACAGCTGTCCTCTTAGGCATCGACTTACACCCTAAGGGAACATAAATACTGAATTAAACATACAATACACAACGCAAAAAATACAAGTCTCAGTCTTAGACATCAGAATGGTTGTGATAGTTTCTAACCATGACTATTTCATGGTAAAACGTATTGATTCTTGCAATACATCCAGGTTTGTTACATCGCCATGACACTCTATGTCCATTCTGGTAGTTTTTTGAGTAACGAATTCCATTATAAAGAAGCATTGTCGTTCCTTTACTCGTCTTCAGAAAACGAGCTGCAAATAATTAAATATTTATATTCCTGTATTAAAATGATATTTCTAAAAATAGAAATCTAGTATATTCAATTATAGTTTCGCAAAACGCAAACATTTAAAAAAACTTTTAAGTTAAAATAGACTAAAATAGACATACAAGCGAACTGACGATGAGACGACGACGAGCTGCTACAAGAGAAAGCTACTATCATAATACTACTGGAAGTATTATTTTTCTTTCTTTAACCATGCTTATAATCAAAATTCATTATCTTCATCAATGCTTTTAAACTACGTGGGTGTATATTTTTGTAACGAACGGCGTATCTGCACGCTTTATTTTGATTTTGTTTGTATTGTGCTCATTATTGCATTGTTTACGAGCTGTCTAATAGAATAAAAATGAAAGACAAGAACAAATTAGATCTAAAAATTAGAGTTTTTATCAACCTAAATATTTAATATGTTAACAGTACACATGTAAAAACATCTTATCCTTAATGTCTAAAATAGTTTTTAAAAAAATACCGTCAAATATTATACATTTAATAATACAATTAGTCTAAATTAATGAAAACATAAGAAGTTCTTCTAAGTCGTCTGAATCGTCATCATCACTTCCAGTCTCCTCGGTTCCGCTTTTACAATCACCTTCGTCGCAATCAGTTACCTCACTTATTTCGCTTTCAAACTCTTTGTCTGAGCTCACCAGTGGGTCATTAATTTCATTTCGAGCTTCATTCAAATCATTTTCGTCATCTTGAATTTCATTTTCATTGCTGTTTAAACAGTCTGAGTTTGAGCCTTCAACTTTGATACTTTCATTTTTTACATCTTCTAGTAGTGGATTAGTCTCCAGACCTAAAATAATGCATGTCATAAGTATGGTAACAATACAAATAATAAGTATTCTGCGTAATAAAACGTCACAGCACTGCAATGTATAAAATAATATAGCGATTTACTAGTAATAAGATCAAAAATAAAATTAACTATAGCTATGAACTCTTAAGGTCATTATGTTACAACGGGTAGTTCAGTTTTTTCGATAGTATGATCAGTATTTCGATATTCATATGAACAATTTTCGAACTCCTCTTCGTCATACATTGAAAAAGATGATATTCGTACTTCCATGAAAATAAAACATAAATTGCCGCGAAACAAGTTTTATTACACACAAGATTAGGAAAACAGAGTTTTCTAATTTTTTTACGTGTAACATACCTTGTAAAAGAAGACACATAACTATAGACAAATAAATAAAAAGAAATCCTCGTTCGGTAGTCACCTGTTAGTGGCAGTTCGTCAAAGCATGTCTAACAAATTAAGTTTTTCCATAGCATCATCCGAATCATCAAAATAACAATCTTCGTCCTCGTCGGTCGTTACATTAATGGACTTTTCTTCACTATGAGTGTTACGCTCTTCTAGAAAGAAAATATTCCGGCCAACTTTTATGTGTTTACCGCCTATTAGTAGTTTTTTTACACCTAAAAGTATAAATGAAGAAGAGATTAAAACAAAAATCGGAGTGCATTTTGGCAATAAAATTGAAACACCTGCTCGATAGCAGGTGTTTAAATTTTATTGCCAAGGTGATATTTTTTCAGATATGTCCCGATGAACATATCTGAAAAAATATGATTAATGCCTCAATTGTATATTTCATCGAAGAATCGATATTTTTTTTTTTTAGTAAAGTTCAACTAAATAAATAACAAGTATATTCAGTTGATTTTATTTAAGTATGAAAAATACAGATGCTATAACCATAATAATGTTATGGTTGCCTAAGAAATACGAGTACTTTAAAACTTTATTTTGAAAAAAGCCTGAAAAAAGAATTACATTCATTCCGACTTTTTGACCGCAAGTGAAAGTCTAAAATATGTATATAATAACCGTAATCAAAACTCGCTACGACGTTTTTGAATGATGTTTGGAACTCATGATCTATATCATTCAGATTCATATTATTTACAGAACATTCAGAAGCGTGCCTTGCTCTATAGCAAGGCACGCTTCTGAATGTTCTTTAGTAGAAACACCAACAACATTAGGTCCCTGAGTTTTGACTCTACGATTACAGATATGTTTATTGTGACAGATCCATGATACCACGCGATCTTTCCCTTCGTAGTTCTTGTAGTATTTCTGGCCGGCATACACGATCCCGAGTGAACCGCGACCCGTGGTAAAAAATTGAACTGTAAATATATAATTAAATATGCGTAATTAGAACTCTTAACAATCACGATAAATATTACCACTTACCTACTTTCTGCTTACATGTAAGACTTACTGTAGTTCGATTTTATACTTTTGTTTGTGATTGTGATTTTAGGAATACTAAAAAACACGTGTCAGTCGACTATGTTTTGATTTCTTTGATGATTGACGTGATTTCCTGATCATGAGAAGATTTCTGCTGCGCTTTAATACATTGTGTGGACATAAAGATTACTGAAATTTATATTTAAGATGTATTAAAAAGTTAATCTCACATTCACAAGGTCATTTTCAGAAATCATCATTGAATAAAATACAATCAAATGTTTTATTAAAATTTAATTCAATTTAAGATATACATATAAAAATAAATATATGTTCTCTCTATGCATATATGAGGCGACATTTTTAAAGGGATAACGAGTAATTGTCATTTAAAGAAACTTAAACTCAGTTATCTTTATTTCATAAAAAAAAATATTTTTTTGTAATCGTCTCTTAAATGAACACAATAGCAACAATCTCTGTTTTGTCAAATAAAAAAGTGTCATGATAAAAAAGGCCAAACAAACTTACGGCCACTCTTTTCAATCAACAGATAACAATAGCATAATTAAATATACACAACATTGTTTTAATGTGTGCCAGCATGTAAGTTTTAAGGACTAAAAGGTAAAAAGGCAATGAAAAGAAAACAAGATATAGAATGAGAACGATGAGAAGATATAGAAGAACAAAAAAGATGGAATAAAAAATAATGTAAAGTAAAACAAAAAAAAAATGGAAAATTAAATAAAAGACACACTAGCCCACATCACATTTCCACTACGAAATAGCCTGTGCTAAATTAATCCCAAGCATTCTTGTCTTCTATGGAATCCACAATTAAGTTATAGGCTTTCTGACATAGTTTACGTTTTATTGTGGATTTGAAATTGTTTATACTAAAATCTTGTATACTATTTGAGATTTTATTATACAATCGGACACATTGACCTCGAAATGACTTGTTTATCTTTTGGAGCCTAGCCTTTTGGCAGGTAAAACAAGTTTATTTCTATTTCTGGTATTACTTCTTTTCAAGAAGCTATCTTTGTTTTTATGAACATATATGACATTTTCACATATATATTGACTTGTCACTGTCATTATGTTTATTTCTTTAAATTTTTGCCTCAATGAACAACGATTCCCTAAATTATAAACTGCTCGAATCGCTCTCTTTTGCAGCAAAAAAATAGTTTGTGCGTCGGTAGCATTCCCACACAGTAGAATACCGTACGAAATTATGCTATGAAAATAACTGAAGTAAACAAGTCGTGCTGTATCAATATCAGTCAATTCTCGAATTTTTTTAACTGTGGACACTGTCTATCCGATATTTTTTCTATATGTGGGCCCCACTGTAGCTTAGAATATAAAGTTATTCATAAAAATGTCGCTGTATCCACAAGGTTTAGCTCGATATCATTAATCATCACAGTGGTTTTCACTGGCTTGACGTTTGGCGTGGGGAACCGTATACACTTAGTTTTTTTTTCAATAGTGGTTTATTGTTAACGTCAAACCAATAAACCACTATCGAAATAGCCTATTTACGTCTGTGACATTAGTAAGGGAGCGTTTGAGTCTAAATAACAGTGATGTATCATCTGCAAACAAGACAATCTCGTGATTATCCTTGACAAGATGAGGTAAGTCGTTAATATTTACTTAAAACAAAAATAGGCCGAGAATAGAACCTTGTGGAACGCCCATTTCTACCACAGAACCCGGCGATTGCTCACTGTTAATATCAACTTTCTGAATCCTATTAGTTAGATTTGAAGCAAGAAGTTCCAGTGCTTTAGTTTGGATACCATAGTTTCCTGATCAGCGTTTCATGAACAACACAATCAAAAGCTTTAGATAAACCGCAAAAGATACCTTGAGAATCGTGGGCATACACCCAGGCATCAAATATATTTTTTATAAGCTCAACACCAGCAGCGGTTGTGAAGCGACCGCTAGTAAAACCAAATTGTCTATTGTGTAATAAATTAATTATTATTATTAAAATAACTTTGTAATTGATCATACATTATTTTTTCAAAAATTTTGCCATATACTGGTAGTACTGAAATAGGCATAAAGTTAGTGGGGTCAGATGTACTGCCAGATTTGACTAACTAACAGACTAACATTATTTAACAATCTAAAATGATATTTTAATTTCAATACATCCACTGTTGTGTACACAACAGCAACCAGCTCATCAATGCGTATGCTGGTATTTACTTGACACTAAAAGGCGGTTAAAGGTGACGGCAGTTGCGGGACAACCCCTCCTTGAGCATCTCCAAGAGATCCGGTCTCCGGCGGAATACTCTTTCCTGTAGCGATAACCATCAAGCAGCAAGCACGGTGTGCCCAGCCTATTTATTGAAAAATGTATACCTAAAGTGTAAATTAATAAAATTTTATTTTTTATTTTATTTCATTCAGTTCATTTACATTTACATTCATTCAGTTTTTTACAATTCAGTTTAACCTAAACTTACCCATCTCGAGATTCTCTTAAGTACTTATTACTTGAAACTATTATAAGGTGACGGATGCATTGTTTGTAAGTGGTATAGTATTAATCCCTTATAATCCTTCTTCTATCTCTTAACAACTTTTCTAAATGTATTAAAAACTGATAATATCAGATAATTATTTGCTATAAAACTTCGAAAAATTTGTTGTATTTATACTGATGTTGTCTTAGTCATCAACTGCTACTTCTACGGCTGGACTGTAGAAGTAGCAGTTGGTGGGTAAGACCTATAAAATACATTATAAAATCAATATAAAAACGGAAAAACATTTATATTATCAGATAACATGGATTCAGCATGGCCAGTTTGAAAGGTTCTAAAAAAACGTATAAAAAAAGTATTTAAGCATAATATAATTCATAAAAGAAGCAGTCTATAATTTTTTATATATACAAACGAAATATTAAGTTTAACAAGTCTCTAATTAACATAGTTTTAATAAGGCTCATATAATATTATTTAGAAAATATCACCAAATTACGTATCGCGTTGAAATATCACTGTAAGCAAAGCTTATTGCTATAATTTAATCTTCGAAATATACATAGATTTTAGAGATCAACAAATTTAAGAAACTTTCGATTTCCATAATAATCTGACTCCTTAACCTAAAATGTCTATAGCATAAAACGTCTATCATATGTATACGTATTATATACATGATGCGTGTCGTAAATCAGTCACACCATTTTTTAAAGCCTTTGATATAAGAAATATCTATAACATCAGAAAATCACATATAAGAGTAGGTACAGCTATTTTAAAAGGTAATTCACATGCAGATCTAATTTGATCATCTCGAAAAAAAGACAAGACGCCAGTTCCTGATAAAACAAAATAATATTTTCACATGGAAAACCAAATGTAAATATGTAAATATAAAAGTCGGTATACTATTTTTTTTTTATCATAATAAAAGGCTTTAATAACAATGAGAAACTCATTGTTAGCGCACAACACTTCAATATTGACAATTAATCCTTTTCAGTGCACAACAAAATTTATAATTTCTTTTTCATTTAAAGTTTAGGGATCCTTCTTCACTTCTGGGTTTGGATGCCGTAACCAAAGATCCGTTTTGGGTAATATGCGAGGAAAATTGAGGGCACGAAGGGCTATAGCTGCCGCAGTTGGATACGAGATCGGAGAGGGCAGGATGGCAGTTGATGTAGAAAGTCCTGTGAGATTCGGAAGACCTCTAGGACGGAGTTGAACAAAAGCTCCGTTTCCACAACGAGCGTGTGACGGTGGGGCATGATTATGTTCGTCTCCTGACGCAACCAGCTTCCCTGATATTAGTCTAACCCTTGCTCGGCACCCCATATGTTTTGATGAACAGTAGAAAAACCGTCCCCCGACCTGCGAGTAAGTATAGCCGCGTAGCACCAGAATGTATTTGCCCTTTTCCGTAGGTATGAACTGCACGTCTGTAATACCAATAACTTTTAGTTATTCATATCTAAAGGAATCATATCGTGTAAATATAGAGCACATTGAGATTAACTATATTAATATAGAGTATATTTTTTATTGTTTCCTTAACAAAACTAATAAAGTAGCCTGATTGTCTTACTTAACAGAATTTTATATTTTAGTAATTATAAATTTGTCTATTTGCCATCCAATAATGGCAAATAAACATAAAATCAGAATGACTTACTGTGTTTTAGGAACGTATCTGCTATTAAAACAGAAGTTAGAGAACCACGAATGTAAATAGATACACATCCTGCTTTTCAGACACCTTTTGTAGCGACCAACTATGCTGCGTCGTATAAAGCACGTCTCAGATTTTAACTTGAATGGCGTCAATGGATCGAAAAACTGTGAACAGATCTTATTTAGAAGCGCTGACCAATATGCCCAGATTCATGTAGGACAGAACTTGGATACCTGAAGACCAATTAAAAGTTGAACTGAATTGAGTTCCGATCAACTTTCGATCTCACAACTGTCATAATAGGTATTTTCGTAGTAAAGTATTAAAAATCCAACATTCACTCTAATGTCATTATATCGTATTGTAACCGAAAATTGAATCGGTAATCTACTAGTCTGTCATACTTTACTATTTTACTACGAAAATATCTTTTATGACAGTTGTGAGATCGAAAGTTGATCGGAGCTAAATTGTGACCGAACTTTTATTACGAGAATTGCCCTTTTTTTTTTTTTTTTTTTTAATCTTTATTTTTTTAATAAGGGGTTTTTATCCAAAAGGATACGCCAACCCCATGAGAATTGGCCTTCTGAACTGATTTATAATATAAATAGGCCAGTTGGTTAAAAAATCATGAGCATTGTCTACAACTACCCAGGTTATATTAACTACCAGGATTAAATCAAACAGACACTAGAGGGTAAACAGAGCTTTAAAAAAAATATAAAAGTGGCACACATGTAATAAAATTCTAAAAAAATTGTAACAGTAATCATTTCTACTCTTAGGAACGATTGGTTTTATCACACTCTTAAAAGTCTTACTATTAGTAAAATAAATTTACAAACTAATTTACCAAACAGCTAAAAGGGTAAACACAGGCCAATTAAACACCCATATTTTGGCAATATAGTCACAATTACGTAACGGCGGCAGATCTTTTGCCGTTAATTGAGCATTCAGGGCAAAAAACATGGGGAAAGTGGGAATATATGGACATAGAGTCTGAGTGGTGACGGATTAAGAATTCGGAGTGTCACCACCCATATTCATCCTTTAAGAGCCAACTAAAGGAGCAAACTAAGCAAGACAGCAGCACTTGTTGTCGTCTCTCTCCATACACGATTTAGTACTTATTGAATTCGGTTGCTAGCTATGACAAAAGCGATGTGTGAAAACGGAATATGTGGTGGCACCCTATTGGCTATTGCTTTTTTAAAGACTGAGTCACATCTAACTGTAAAATAATTACATTCAGCGTAACAAATAACTTTCAAGAAGTACGTGTTTTATACGGCACTGGTACTTTTACGCAATGTAATATGCACATCATCGTTATCAGCCTGTCGCAGTCCACTGTTGGACATAGGCCTCTCCAAATGCAGACGCAACCTGTATATCACAATACATAATGATTATATTTGTAGCTAATACGTGAATGTTACTACAAATTTTCCCGTACAAATTCTTATACAATCCTATAAATATTTAGTAGATCCATTTTACAAAAGTATAATATATTGTATATGTTATAAGAAGCACATGCCTGTGCATAAGAGCATGGTAATAAAATAAACAATATGTACCTACATAGTAAAAAAAGTTGAAATGTAATTTAACAAAACCCACAATCACAGTAAACTTGATACTGTAATACAGTAAACTACACCTGGAGTAGTGATCCAGAACTCATTATCATTTTCTTTAACGAATAGTTGTGTGGTTTTGTTATACCCGAAAGCTAAAAAGACTGTTTACAGACTTAACATATCGACACTCAGGCACATTTGGTAGTACAATTAATATTATGTAGAATTGGCTAAACAATTTTCTAGCACAAATATGTGTGTACAAGCACTATTTAAAAATGGCGCCGAGAAACTTAAGTACAGCAGCATAGATAGATAGATATATCCCTATATTGTACAATAAAAACATGGTAAAAATACAGTTTGTGTACATGTGTCTTATAATCTAAAGTTATATAAAAAAAAACATATACAGCATAGTACTATAGATAGTAGATTTTATAGTCCAGGTGATTTTATTCACGCGCTGCTTGAAGCCGTTATTTTGTTTTAACGAGGATCCAGTTTCAGTCGCTTGAACAGTGGTGTAACGCTATCTCCAGATCATAGAAAGAGTAGGGCCTCACAAAAAACTCTCTTTCTTCTGGTAAGGCACAGCATTGTGTGACATCTGCAAGAAAAAATAAAAAAGCAAAAGATTCATGAAAATAATAATGCAACAATGAAAAACATTGATTTTTATTTTATCAAACAAGAAAAATACAAATAGATTTAATAATGTAATTTCTTTATTGAGCGTTATTGTTTATACAAATTATAAATTCAAGAATTATACAGTAACAAACAGTTAAACATTTCATTTAAATAAAATTTATACATCCAATTTAAGTAGTCTTTGCATTATCAACAGTCTGGGTATCTACTAAAAATGGAATAGAGAAATTAGGTCTAAATAGAAATCATTAAACACATTTACCTATAAGGCACGTATTTTAATACACACCTATAAATAAAACATTATCAATGTGAACTAAGTTCCCCGCTTAAAGTTTTAATCAACACTTACATAAACACATTGCTATTAATAAACCTTTTATGCATTTTTTTTTAAAAGTATATAAGTATTCTATCAGTCAATCTAGCTTTCATAGACAAGCTCTGCTCAGTTTGAAACTAAATGGCGTTGTGTGTTAGATGTACGATTTTTTTTTTAAATATTTCAAATAAGAAGACATCGTGACCGCGCCAACTTTACTTCAGTTATGTAAAACTGAGAATTAGAATTATTAATATAAATTACAATGCAAATGATGCAATACCAATTTTTTTATGGCATAAGAGGGCAAACGATCAGACGGGTCACCTGGACCTCAATTCTGCTATTTTACATAAATTCATCACAATCACATCATCAGTGGTGATATTAGCAACATTGAGATATCTGGCAAATTAATAAAATATATATTTATATATACATGTACATTTAATAGTTGGGTAAACGGTACATTTTAAATTTGTAAGGAAATTATATATTTCATTTGCCAGATATATATATATATATATATCTATAGCAAAGATATCGACGATATTTGTATCAGTGGCAGTTCAGTGACAAGTCATCCATTGGGAGGCCATTGGTCTTACATAGTTAGTAGGATACGAAAATTGCAAAACTATTCCGACGACAATTCATCGACAGTCTATGAACACAATATTAGAAAAGAATTGAGGCCCCTGGTAAGTGACTACCGCTGCCCGTGGACACCGGCTCTAACACGGATAAGGCGAATTGTAACTAAGTACTAAATACAATACTCATTTCTATAATGCGTAATGTCATTCTAAATGTTTTAAGTACGTGTGAGTGTACAGATAGCAAACTAATTACTCCATATTGTACTACCAGTAAGTACAATATGGAGTAATGCTATTTAGTATAGGAGTGTAGCTATGTAAAAAATACTTATTATTTGTTCAACATTTCTAACTCAGTCTGCATAAACCATAATTTAAAATATATTATTATTTAACGTGAAATTTTTACCCACTATTCAAAATATACACAAGGAATTATTTAAACATAGAATACAACCACTGAAATTAAAAGTAATCTGGTAAAAGCCTATCTAGCTGAACTGAACTGGAATTGAAATTAAAACTAAAAGTAATCTGGTAAAAGGCTATCTAGCGATATCTAGTATTTTTTTACAAATATTAACTTTTAACCAGTGGTAATAATAGTACTTATAACTACCAACGAGCGTACACAACGGTGTGCCAACGAGCGCTCTTTGTAATGCTAAGGTTTGTCCTTCACCGAATGCACGTATTCACTTAAATTGGCCTTGATGGGGAATTATGAAGAGGGGACTTCACAAACATTCATGAAGCGGGCACAAAGAACACCCAGACTCAGAATAACAATTTGTGGATCACACAAAGTGTTGTCCCATGTGGGGATCGAACCCGCAACAGTTAGCACAATAGGAAGCGGCAAGGTGACCGCTTAAACCACTACGCCATCCGTGCAGTCAGAAACATACATAGGTCTCGTGTAACTCACTAATTTTAAGGTTGAGATTGTTAATAAATTGCTAAAATTTCAGAATTTGAATTGACTACTCCAAAATTTTGGACTTCCCACAATCACAATTGCCTGTGTGGCTAAATATATGGTAAACCAAATAGAATTGTTTAAAAATTATTCATAATAATTTATTCAATAATTTAATCACGTTCCCTAATACATATAATAAGGTTAAGGGTACGAGAATTTACACGTATATATACTCGTGGTCACAGGTTGAAGAGTCAGCCTGGTATTGACCAGGCTATTAAGTACATACCTTTGAATTGTGAAATATATGTACGTAATACCTACAAAGATTATATAATAAATATAATTATATACATATAATCATTTAATCATTTATATTCCATGTGACAAATACAAAAAATAACGATGTCGGGTCTACTTCTACAACCCTTTTTTTTTTTTTTTTTTTTTTTTTCCGTGCGGAAATCCCCTCGGATACCACCTGTCGGTGGCATGTCGGACTCGAACCGACTAAAACCGCACGCCTTCGCCGGGTACTAACAGCCGGGGAACCAGGTATACCCTAGAAAGGAAGGCCCTGGTGCCCCGACATACCTCGGGTCATCTACAGACGAGTAGACGACCCCCGCCCCGTGTGGGAACCCCATGTTCCCTGTGCTCCCTGAAAGCGAGCGCGCTTCGCAACGCGCTCGCCGACTTCTACAACCCTATCGAGCGTCAAGCAACGTTTCGACTTTTCGTATGTTTTCAATTTTTTTCACAAATCCTTAAAATATAAAGAAATCTAGGCATCTTTATAAATAAAAAATATGTTAAATGTGGTATTTTGCCAACTGTATTTAATGTCTATTTTGTTAAATTTCGATACATAATTAGTTAAACGATAATGTAATGTTGACTTTAAAGATATTTATTATCATTGTGCAAATTACTTCATTTCTAAATTTTCGTTCCTTTTTGTAAGAGTTTTCATCGAATCTGTAGACTGTAAGATGGTCTATGCTCTAATTATCTAGACACACAATAGTTATCGGAGATAGTATACTACTTTTTGTTACGTAGGTACAGCACTGCGTACATGTACGGTGTGCAATGCACACTTTAATTATTGTGACGTGTCGGCCGATAGTTATGTTCACAGATAAGAAATAAAACATTTAAGAGATAAAAATTGCTACAGAAAAAATGATTTTTATTAATGACTATTCTCAAATAGAATTAATAAATGGATGGACGGATGGATAAAGGAAAGTTGGTTATTAATAATTATTTCATGCAAAACTAATACCTTATAGTTTAGTTAAGTTAATTCATAAAATCCCACTTACCTAAGTAGGATTTTATGAAACTTTATAGTAAATGTAGCTTACATTTTAAATTAAACTTATATGTGAACCGACTGCACTTTAAGGGTGGCAAACGACGGACTATAGTGGTTATGAGTGCATATCAGATTTCTTATAACAGAGTTAGTCTGGTGAAGATCACTTTTCAACTCCCGATGCAATGACACGAGGCATATTACACACATATCTACAGTTTAACCTGTCTATTTGTATCAGTAAATTTCAAAGTAGCTCCTACACGGATTAGTTTAAATGGTAGCCTAGTCGAGTGGTTAGTCGATCGTAAGCAACAACTCTTTTTAAATCCTTGAAGGGATTTTTTGGTAAAGGACATTTAGATTTTTTTATTTAACCTTGTAGCGATAATATAGCCTAGAATTAATTAATACATCTAGTGTATAATAACTTATTAAGTACAGCTGCTATGATTATCAATAAGGCTTCAGTGAAAGACTCAGGCCACTTCCATATTTTGGTTACATATGTTTTTCTTTTGATTTTACGTCTACTATACGATGCAAGGGCATCTTTAATCTTATGTCTATATCTCGGCACTTTATAAATATTAAATTATTAAAAAAATATATAGGGGACGGGCGGGCAAGATGGAGAGGGCGGGTAAAATGAATAATCGTTTTAAATCGCTGGTCGGTCGGTAGAAACATTTTAGACTGCCATCTATCAATCCATTATACAACTACACTTACCGTTGTTGACAAAGCATCGGTCTTGCAACTTGTGAGTTTTTTTTTTATAAATATTGAAATTTAGGAAAAAAAAAAAATTTAAACCGTAGATAAGTATACAGTGATTATTTTAATGTTGTTAAGGACGATGTAGTTTTTTTTTTAAATGTAATATGTAATTAATGAACATGAAATAATCAAGTTATTTTTTTTATTGCTGTGGTTTGTAATAATTTAAGGTTATGTTATAAAACTACCAGACGGGCAAAACGGAACCGGGCAAAACGGATACTTTAAAAAAAAAAAAAAGTTTTGATTGTCTTATACGTACATTGTATTTAGTATAGTCTACTTGTTGCAGATGTTTTATAGCTATAAAAGAAAAACAGATCGTGCCAGTGCAAAGGATTGAAAATGAAAACGAAGAAAGTCATCAAAGTACTTCTGACGATCAGATTGAGCCAAATAATGAGACGATAGCACAACCAGCGATTATTTCCGACATGGATTTATTACAGAACATCCGGCCCATACCTATTGGAACAGTTCGAAAGAGTACACGAGGACGTAAATCTCAAAAGTCAGAAATTTTAAATAAGCTCTCCTATAATCACAGCTCAAAAACAAAAAAAAAGATACTGCAGCTGCAAAAAGAAAAGCTCCAATCGATGTCCCAGGTCCGTCCGGTATCAAAAGACAACGACGAACAAAACAAACCTTGGGAAAATCCGACCGGGACCCGCCGAAAGAAGATTGGATACAATGTGGGATCTGTCAAGAGTGGACACATGAAGCCTGTTCTTCATATTCGGGACGCGGTTCATATTTTTGCGACGATTGTTTTGATTAAAATGCGTTTTCCAATCAGTATTCGTTTTGCCCGACCTGAGTATTCGTTTTGCCCGCCCAGGTAAGGCAAAACGGATAATGTTGACTTTTTTTTTGAATTTTGAAGAAGAATTTCTTTATTTTTATTTCTATTTTGCTTTAATTATAAACTTCAATTACCCAAAAAATTATTAGCCAAAGCTAAGAATAGATATGACTATAATATATATTTGTTATTTCATCATAATATCGCATAACGAACGACAACATAATAACTTTGCCTTCGAGTACAGTATAATTATAGTCCCCAAAACCTCATAAAACAAATCTGTTTCGTCAAAGTTAATTTAACATCATAAATTGCATTGCATTTTAAATAAATCAATGCTTCAATCACATAACCACGTTGTCTTTTTAAAAAAATGAAAATGAAAAATTCTCTGCATCGACTAATCCGTCGACTGGCTGAGAATGCCTGAGGCATTAAGTCCGTCGATGCATATATTTGTGCAAAAATTTCTAAAATAAATAAAACAATACAAATGCAATACTGTAATTTTATTGTAGAGTAGAGCAATATATCAGGTATGGCTCTGTACTACCATAAATATACCTAAGACTTTTAAAGGTGCGTTGTCACTCAGCAGCTCACTTAGTAAGTAATATTAACGCCTCGTACACTGACAGTCTCTCAATCTCCTTAAGTCATGCAACATTTTTATGCATAGATTAAAAGAGCTGCACTGATCGCGAAAATTTTAAATGGACACTTTACACTGCAACTATTCATATTCGGCGTACACGATTTTTACTCTAAAGCTGCTAATTCCTTCTCAATAAAGTTTTTATTTTCGTCACGAGAATACAGATTGTAATAGATATGTTACACAGTAATTTTCTCCAATTTGAGCTGGTTCGGCCGAGCGTGGCTCTGGCATGCAGGCTTCTTTTTAGAAATGGCTTAGTAAATAATACTTTAAACCTTTAAAAATCGGGATTAATATAAATACGAGTTTCTACACAAGACAAAAAAAGAACAATGATCTTGCCAAATTTAAGAAGTTACTCAGTAGATTGAAAGTACGTTGTGTGTTTTAGAAAGTTGGTAGGCGAAGAATTCGTTGGCATTGCCCTAATACAAGTATACACAAAATCATAAAATGTAGCAAGCCATGTAACTTTTTAAATAATTCTATAGAACGTTGCGTGCGCAAGGAAGTATAAAGAAAACCAGTTACCAGTCCTTACCAACTTATTTTAGAATGTTTTGACTTAGTATAAAAGTTAGACATGATCCTTTAAAAGGCGTTATGAAGCAGAGAAGTAATCGCTAGCTATGATTATGATAACCATATTTCTTGACGAGTACTCCATCAAACGTGGTTAACGTAGCTATGCACTGCAGCCGTCGTTTTCTGCCACACACCCATCTTGTCCTAAGCCCTCGAGATCTCTCCCTAATGAAGTTCATACCTTCATACATAATCATGGGGTTACCTCGCCTGGATGTAACGAAGAGTGCACCTGCAAGTTTGAGGATATAACAGTGGTGAACTGGTAAGGTAAATAATAAATATATATCTATTTTTACTTACTTGCTATGCTTTAGTTGGAAGTTAATAATATCTTTGGTTGTAAAAGGTTTTTAGATAGCTGTTTATAGACAAAAGGTTTAGGCTATACACCTATCATATCGCCACTTATCTGTCAGTAGCCTTGATGCATCACAAAAACAAACAAATATCAGAGCATGTAATTCTGTTCTGTAACTATTTTTATCTGTACGGGAATCAACCTGCTCTATTTATAATAATTATGTTCACAAGGGTAACAAAATTGTATTATATGTTATGGAACGCTATAGTTTAAAAGTTACTGTAACTATTTATTTTACCAATTTTATTTATAATATGATTACAACATATAAATAACTACCATCAATTGCGAGCCCTTAAGCAAATTGTTATTCCAGATTTTTGATACTCCCACTGCCATCTATCGACTTCTTATGACTACCATAAGAAGTTTCTATTATTTCTCACTCACATCAAAGTTCTTTAATGCAGTTGTATTATTTGAAAAAAAAAGAATACCATAGTAACCCTTTTTTGTTTGTTTTTATAACTCATAAATATTATAAAAATCCTATAAAACAAGATAACATCATTATCCTTAACATTTTTATTTTAATAGAAATCTTAGTAAATACCCTTGGAATGCCATCAATGTGTCTTAAGGGCTTCTTAAGCAGTAACGCCATCTACACAAAATCTTGAAAATTGTTTCACCATGAAATGCGTGGAAGTAGGTTTTGTATTTGTTTCAAGATAACACCGCAAAGCGTCTAATAGCGCTAGTGGTGTGCGTTGGTTTTGTTCGTGTCCAGGATATTAGAAGTGGGATCAAGTTATATTATGACCTCTTTGGTATCGTTTGTTCAATACATAAGATACCAGAGGTGTAATGATAATTAGTTTATGTTAGCATGACAATGTATTGATAATTACCACGTTTACGTGAGCAAAATATCGATTGCAAAGCGAGAAACTAGTTAAAAAATGCAGTGAACCGTTAGAAAGATTATCATCATACCTTAATGCTTCACTTAACGACCGTCACAGATGAAACTCTTTAGTTTCTATAAAGGAATTTGATGAACCGCATCATTTCTCTGACCTGTTTGTGCTAGTACTATAGTTGATAGCCACTTTTTATGTAAAGTTTTGATTTTATTTTGAACTGTAACTAGGTAGAGCCAGGTTAAGAAGTTCAAGACAACAAAGGTGCACATGGATATGCACACCTAACAAACTATTTTCAACAGAAAATAATACAGCAGAAGCAAAAGTATAAAATTGAATCAAAAATAAAATCACGACATTTAATAATGAAATAAATGTAAATAGATATTCTTGTCTGTCCTGGAGACCAACTACTGTGCATTTTTTTATCATTTCTTTATTAGGTATATTTACAAAGAATCTCCAACACCAACATATTACAGTTTAGACGACATATGAAAGTCAAGAACAATAATGTAACGGTGTGCGAACTAGCGCCGACTGTAATAGCACACGGCCATTCTCACGGAACGATACACACGTCTACGCTATGTCCATGATACATAATTTATTGTTTTCTTTATAGTGTCAGAATAAATCTAGCAAATATCCGTTATGCCATCAAAGAAAACCTAAAGAAACCACCATATCCTTCAGAGTTCAAAATATCAAAATCTGCTAATTTTTGTATTTCTTCCGGTACTTACTCGGGTGTACTTGTTTCTGCATAAGAAGTACAGTACCCTTTTTTGTAACTCTAGTCATGTATTATGCAACATTGCATTAAATACAAACAAACATTGATGTTTATATATTAATTGGTTTTAGGTATTAATTTCAACGTCAAAAAAACTAAAACAATACATTCATACTTAGTAACATTATATCATTGACGTCACTTCAATTAGGTGGTTTGAATACTAAGTCACAAGTAAGCTACAATTAATTTTATAAAAACGTGTGGTAAGAAATTGTGAGTGTTTTCGTATCTACATCTATAATGTAGTCAGATCACATCCGTTTTACCTTCGAAGTCCTTCCAGTTACAAAATTGAATAATTTGAGGCCACGATTTCAAGCCACTATGTTTTGTACTAAGATTGTTTGTTTCAAATAAATCTGTAACAAATCTGTACGGGTTTATTACTTGTATTTATGATAAAAGTATCTCAGAAAACAAATATCGGTAACATTATATCCCCTTACTCCCTAATCTGGACAAAATGTTAGCGTGCCCCGAATTGCCTAACAACCGTCGCTACCCGGAAAATACGTTATAGCTAAATCAACACAGATATGAAGAGTATGAAGCATCAAAATGTTTTTTTTTATCATTTCAATAAGTACAATAATTTATATAGTAATATATTTAGATCATGTCTAACTTATCCGGCGGTAGGATAAAGTCTAAGGCATCGTACTTCGAGTCATGTCGTTACGAGACTTAAACCCCTAACATTAGTATTTAGCTAGGGGGGTGGATGGGTTAAGAAAAATACTAGCAATTTGTGACATATAATTCTATAAAACCAAAATTCGTTAATATGTATCTGTATAGAATTTACTATTGTCATTTAACTTCAAGTTCCTCTAGAATTTCTTACTACTTACAATATAAAATAAATAAATGTCAGCAAAATGATAATAATCATAGAGTCATCAATTAGTTTTCACCGTAGCAAAATAATTGACATAATTATTGCTACATATTTTAATCAATAGAAAACCCCAGATTAGGCAGTACGATTCTCTTTTATATTCGTAAACGTACCTACAGCTAGATAAACAACTTTGGGCCATTAAACTCAAATCAGATAGCTAAATATATGTTCGTGATCCAGTAGTCGCTAGCACGTAGGATATAGTGATCAAAGTCGCACTTCAGGTTTGGAAGCAAGTCATCACTGTTCCCACCGAGAAAAAATGTAATCAAGTTAACATTTCAATTGAACTAAGCAAGTAGTTGATGTCCAGTTTGTTCACCGTAACGGTACGGAGAATACCTGTGATAGTACTATTCAGGTGTTTACCAGATAGACGGGCAATAGGGTCATGACGAAATCGCTTCGGAGTTATTCTTAAGCACTACTCGGAGAGGTAACGCGATTAACCTTATCAACTGTACTTATAATTGAATAGCGTTAGCATTTGCCCTTATCGAGAACAAAACACACACACAAAAAAAATTCTTAGTTAAGTCGATATCTCAATAGTGATAGATAGTAAATCTGGGCGCACGTGAAGATAGAATGTAATAATGTAACGTGCCTATCAATAATAGTGTACTAAGTGTGTACTAAGTAACTAAGTCTTGTACTGTCCCCCTGTATTATTGATCGAAGTTGACTATATTATTTTTTTAAATGTAACTTAAATTGACGACATAAGGGCTTTTTTACTGTTAGCTTTTGTTTGCAAAAGTTTCACAACGGATGATTTTAATTAAGTAAGGAAAAAATTACCACTCGTAAAATATCTCGTTTAACACAAAAATTAGACAAATGTTTTAGCATCTACCGAGTGGTTTACCTATCGTCTCACACATAGAAATGTACTCACGACGACAACAGAGAAAGAAATAACTTTGTAAATAAGGTAAATTAATGTATTTTTATTTTTTAAACCTGGATTGCTAGCTTTATGCCAGGCAAAAGAAAAAAAATACCTTGAATAGAATAGAAGAATACAGGGTATTAAGTCAGGGTTACATTTCTTTCTTTAAGGAATTGTCTAACTTAAGTCGTCGAAACCTTAAACAGTTGACCGGGAACAAAAGAGGACTATTTAAAAGGACTATTATAAAAAAAATCGTTAACATTTAAATCTAACAAAAAGATATTTTGAAGAATAATAAAGTGATACGGTCTTTACCTGCACCTGGCGCTAGAAACTTGTAAGAAATAAGTATTACATAAAAACATGTTTAAATAGAAAAAGCATCAAAAGGCAGGACGTCTAGACATTCTTTTTTTATTTCCCAGAAAGAGCAGGTAGAAATCTGTACAATGACGTACCAATGAATCCGTCGGGAGAGTATTATTACGAATGGAAAGATTTCTCTGAGTCTTGCTTTTATTGGTAAGCTTTAATTTAGAGTTACACAATAATGACTAGATACATTTGAGAAACCCGTTTAGTAAACAACATTTTTAACTGTTTTACTACATTGGCCCGTGTTTACGAATACGCTGGTACCGTATAGTATACTATAGTTGTAGTGTACATAAGTCCACGTTTGTACATTTTAGAAGTCTATTAATTTGACTTAGATAATAGCTAATCTATTTTTTATCTGGCAACATGTCATCGTTTGCTGACCAGTAACGGAAAATAACTTTTATATAATAATAACATAATTATGTTCAATACACTGTAATACAAAATAGACTAATGATTGAATACAAATAATTCACATAATATCTTATAAATTTTCATGATTTCGTTCATAACGAGATGTAATTGGTAAACAAATTTTCATTATGATGCTATTGATGACCGGCGGGGTGCGCTCAGTATTTCAAAATATAGCGCAATTTTATCCGACTTCTTCAGCGGCACGTGCTCTATGTAGCTATTTTCTTTGAGTGGAAGAAGTACAAAAATGTTTTAAAAATATAATGAAGGGTAAATGCAGTTTCAACTCAATATTGCACACACGGTTCGGGACATTTTCGGCGGTGCGTATGAACTGATGTCTGTCCAATAATTATATTGTTGTATGTGAGCACCGAGGCGGGACAGCTGCGAAACTTTCTAGATGAACAATACCATAGCAGGCGGGTCTTGTCGTGTCTGTTTCTAGATTTTATGAAGAATGTGTTGCCCTTGTAGTACAATAATCGTCCTCCGCGTGTCGTTGTCAAATATTGAACACCTTACAATAACAAATAAAATATTTAGCTTTTGTTACACGGAAGGGGAATTGATAAAATAAACACTCTTTACAAATAAAATCATGTATTACTTTTTTAATACAATAATGTAAACGGCAAGCGTCATGTGGGTACAGTTTAGTTTAGTTTAAAAGAAACGCTATAAAAACTTTGATTGGTAAATTTTGGTGAATCACCTTCTACCAGAGAGAGGTAGTTATCATTTGTTCACGGTACACTTTGGTCCGTCTAGCCATGTTATACATCGTAGATAAGAGAACATTCTAGACGTGTGATGATGATATTTTATCCAAACAGGTTTTTCCTAAGTAATCCTTAGGGTATTTTGATGTGAAACATCTAATGCGGAGGGTGAGACATTTTGCTGAAGTGGCGTGACGGCATGCGACACTACGCAATATGATAGTATATGTAACATGCCATGCAAGTCACTCAGCGGCTATCACGCTGATTATCAAAGTGATTTTACACTCATTATTTCCACAAAATAATTTCGATGTTTTACATCTATCATCAACGGCTCATTTTTTTTATTTTAACCGATTAGAAATTTTAATTATACAATAATAGAATAGAATAAGATAATGTGTAATGAACACTAATATAATAGATTAATTTAAAGTATAAGTATGTACAACATACATAAATTTGTTAACGAGGACGGATTCCATTATGTTACCTGACTTGGTAAAAAAATCTAATAATGGCTTTTTAATAATGAGATTTTTTTACCTAAGTATCTCTTAGTTGTAATACAACGATCGGCGAACAACATTTAGATAGGGAAATCAATGACCTGTTGCTTAATACAAGGAAAAGCTAAACGGCTACAACAGCGTCCAAACAGTCGGAATGTAGGTAACATTATATCAGACTTCTAAAACCAAAAAGTCAAACCGAGATCCGGTTTTAAAAACTCAAGTGCCCAGTTAGAAAAATTTGTATAATAAATGTATCCAACACATCTGTATAACGTGTTAGAGAGTTACGTAACTAAATAACAGGTTGGAAGCCCTGTGTAGTACTATAAAATGTTCGGTAATATTTTCATTGATAGCCGCGCATGCGTACTGGGTTATTCTACGCACTACAACGCGTATTACTCCTTCAGTTATTTACTCAAAATAGAACATTGAACTCAGGGCGTGGAAGAGGCTGAGCTGTAACCTCACGTGCCATCTGTACCGCACAATTCTTGTATTTTTATCTCAATCAAATCTCTTTGATTGAGATAAAAATGATTGATGAAATGATTTACACTAAATATATTAACTCAATTATATGAACCTAATTTGAACTTGTATTTGTTTATCGTATTTAAAAATGTGACGTCACAATAATCAACTACTACACGCTCCTGAGTCCATTCATTTCATGGTATGAATTATTATTTACATACTCACATTAAGTATACCGATAAGTCGTTGACCTGAGACCACGTGTTTCACATAGCATCTGCGTCAGAACCAATCACATTACTATTTTTGTTGATGAAATCGATAATATCTATGTTTATCTAGAAATGTCTTTATCAACATATTTTTTACTGTGTTACAAGGAAACTTTCACTGGCGGCAAATCTATCTATTGTATTTTATGGCACCTTGTGTTAGTTGCTTTTATAGGCCTACAGGTTGCTTTTTATATACTAAACATAGGTGCACATTAAATTGTTTTAATAACACAGTGTAAAAACCACATTAATCTTCAAGCCAAAGGTTCACCTTTTAACCAACATTCAATGTTGCAAAACAAGAAATGACGGAGTTGAAAATGCACTTTAATTGTATGTTGACGTCGTAAAGATCATAAAATTCAAACATCTTATTGCTATAGTTGTGGTAGACATCTTCCGAGCAGACAATCGCACAAGTGTCTGTTGTGAACTGTGACATAGCAGGAGGGCGCATGCATCAAGGACACGCTACGGCAGCGCCACGCCGGCCAGCTGACCCTTACGCACCACGACACCGACTCCCAAACACCAGCTACAATTACCAATCAATCCAACTATACAATCCTCGAAACCAAACAAATTACCTATAATATACTAAGCATGTAAAATCAAATAATTTAAGGTAAACAGAAAAACTCCAGCCTGTTCTGAGTTTAATAATATTCATTAAATAGTTACAACCTCAAACATTTCTTTTGAGTATTTTCAAAATTAAACATTATATTAATAATTCATACGCCTATACAGGAACGATAAACTGTTTTCTATTCTTAAAACACTGAAAAACCAAGAACAATGTTTTTATTAAATAAATATTCTTTATAGCTATTATTAACCATAACGGAAACATTACAGGAAGCGGGAATGTAAAAACGACCTTATTACTACAATAGGATGTTATAATTTCAGGGGAATGGTAAGCCTAGGGTTGGGAGACGAGAGGAAAGGGGCAGCCGGAGTAAGATTCTGGGGCATTATCGATTGGGGGCCCCATCACCAGCATGCAAGTGGCGCGGCGCGCATGTCTCGAGCGACACCGTGGGATCGCGTGACGCGGGTCCTACGCGGAACCTAGGGCGACCTACGACCCTATAAACCAACTTCACACAATCCCAACCCATACAATGCCTGCACAACTGTCAATGTAAATTAACCTCATTATAAAGAACCTCACGCGATGGCTTAAAAAAACCTAATATAAGTACGAATGCATACAAAATATTGTAAGGTTGCCATACCGTTACACACTGTACATTCTTAATTAATGTGACCATTACTTTCCCACAAGAATTACGGTTAAGTAGAAAGCGCCAATCTATAAATAAATCATAGTGGCATTAAGTATCAAAACACGCTACGTCATGGCAGGCGTACTACGCAGAGATGTTTACTCACACACAGGCACGGGCGCCCTTCGGGAGGCGGGTGGGGTAGTACGTCAAATTAGGGCATACAGGGCGTAACTAGGCTATAGCGGGAGATGGAGGGCACGCCCATGCGATTCCCCGTGCCCTGCGGAACTTTCTTCTTTCATAACTTTGTAGGTATTGATCCGTCACAACTGCGCAATTCATGTCCTCTCGAATACATCCGATATTGCAACGATAATGTCCGCGTGTCTAATATCATTCATGTTTTCGTTTGTTCTTTATATTTTGTGGATATACACGTGTACTGTTTTATTTATCAAATTGCAATATGTTTTTTTATTAAAAACGATGTTTTGACAGTAATTGTTACTAATGAAAGTTAAGTTAAATTCAGTAATAGTAATGTTAAAAATAAGAGAATATAGAAGATAACTTCAAAATTCAATTTGCTATCTTCATGCCTTGCGATGTCATTTTTATGAGCATTTTTAATATGTTTATGTAAACATTAACTATCACACAAACTATCCTTTAGGTTGCAACTTGCATTTAGGTCGTAGGTATGTGTTTATAGTTTAAACGCAACTGAATTTATCCGAATTGAAAATCTCCTCTATTTTGTCATGTGCCATGTGTCATGAAGTTTAATTAACTAATCATTCCGTGAAAAGCAAAGAGGGATATTGTGTACAAACAAATCTCAATATTATACAGAAGTACATAATTGCGTAGTACCGTACTACTCAACACCCACGCCCCGCCACCCACCCCGTTCACGTTTACAGGCCACAGGAAACACTGTTCATTCATCCATACCCTTTAATAAAACTTTCTAGTCTTTTACAGAGTATTTAGTTACTTTAAGACATTATATCATCAAATCATATGAACATTTACTGTAAAATCATACACGCCTTTACATGTTTCATTTATGCTGCAATTCTGTTTGTTTATAAATTTGTATACATGGACATCAGTACAAATGGCACTAATGGTATAAGTAGCTTTACACTGCAAAAATAATCTTCGAGCATTAGTACCTATTTCAGAGCATTTCAAATTAACTAGCAAAGGCGAAACTGCATGAGATTTAAATAAAAACATTAAAAACATCATATTCTACTACTACTTATTGAATAAAGATAAAGTAAACGATAACACAATGATGACAAATCAACGATGATCGAATTACATTTATAAATTAGTTCCTTAACAATTAAAGTAACGCGTGTGCGTGTAGTGTCATATAGAGAATGAGATTCTTCTAATTCTAACGATTTTTCTCATTGTGTTTTGTTACAATCTTTGTTTGACAAATCTTAACATTAAGAAACAGTTTTCAATTTAGCCCTACGATTACGTAGGATCTCATAAGAAAACAAGGCGAAATTATACAACAGTTCCAAGAACTAACCTAAGCAATATCGCCCATGATGATGCACTTATCACAATAATTATTGTTATTTTTAAGTAGGTAAGTGCATGCTTAGGCATCACCTTAAAAGGCTATCAATTTTGTTAGCCCAATGAACACTTTTTTTTTCCGTGCGGAAATCCCTCGGTTACCACCTGTCGGTGGCATGTCGGACTCGAACCGACTAAAACCGCACGCCGTCTCGGGTACTAATAGCCGGGGAACCAGGTATACCCTAGAAAGGAAGTCCTTGGTGCCCCGACATACCTCGGGCCATCTACAACAACAGGTAGACGACCCCCTCCGTGTGGGAACCCCATGTTCCCTCTGCTTGCTGGAAGCGAGCGCGCTTCGCAACGCGCTCGCCGCCACCCCGGCCTGCTTCTGCTAGGGTGACAGATGGCCTCACCTGTCACCCCCAGGCCTGCGCTTATGGAGGACGGAGGTCGTTCTGCGACCTCCGGCGCCTGAGTCGCCTGCGGTACCTGGCCCGTTCCCGGGCCTGGCGGGCCGGGAGAGTCCTAAACCGCCCCGGTCCCGCTCCGCCGTCTCCTTCGCGAGCATGACTTGCTCGCAGAAGGAGCACTATAGCCGCGGTCAGGCTATCGAGCGAGAGAACTCCCACTCCGATGGCCGCCACGAGGTCTTGCCTCTGCTCAACCCACTCCGGGCACTCTGCCAGCGTGTGGAGAGCCGTGGATCTGGCCATCGCAATGGTGGCACTCAGGCGTTGGCGTCTTGCGGATCAGACACAGGTGATCCCCGAAACATCCTTTCCCAGTGATCACCTGCGTCAGTCGGTATGAGAGGGTCCCGTGACGCCTCACGAGCCAATCCTCCATAACAGGTCTTACCGCCGCGATGACGGCGTGCCCGAGACCAATGAACACTGCAAAAATATTAATCAACAGGGACCTTAATAACATTCCGACTGAACGATTACAACACACTATTCGATAAAAAAACATCGCTAAGACTTTCTTCTTCAAAATTAAATATTTTGTAATTAGTCCATCTAATGTTGTAGATAATTTGTAAATTCCCATGGACTCTTAATTGACTTTAGAAGTACATCATAGTTGCATAAATCATGAACCAAAATTACTGATCTATATTTTCGTATTAAGTACACTAAAATAATTATGAAATACTTATAATTTTAGGAACTCTTGAATTTCTATATTTCTACAGACTATACAAAAAGCTAAAATAATAAAAAAAAATATATATTGAAAAATGATTTCAAGAAAAAAAAAACTATATAGCTATATAGATTAATGGTGCTATCTGTACCTATGGTATACGTCTTTCTTTCGAACATACTTGCCGTCGGGGGTGAAATAGTAGCTTGGCGGTTGGTGTATGTGTCTTCCTCGGACGAGGAACAGAACATCGCCTGCGCCAGCGCGAGCAGGCGCTGTGATGACGTCAGCACGACAACCAGCCATGTCTCGAGACGAACAATACCATTGCTTCCTTCCGTGCGCTTGGAGATTCTTCAGGTAGAATGTGTACCCGTCGTGCAGAAGTAGTGACTTGCCCGTTCGCGATGGCACGTACACTGCCGGCACTGCGTCAAATACTCAACATGTGACCACCCACATTCGGTTAATGATGTTTCCACACCAGTGACCGAACTGAATACCATCAAGTTACACTAGATCCTTAAAAACCATTCATTACGTGTAAATGCATATGCTTCACTGAAATGTATGGTCATTCGAATACGATGCGTTTAACCGAAACATTCTACGTTAAATACGTGACAAGAGTACATTTCCTGCATCTTTTTTTTTGTTGACGGGGTGGAAAATCCCTCCGGATCTCCGGCTCCTTGGGGATGTAGGAGCCCCTACAGGAAAATAACATGCTTTTTTGTGTATACGATTTAATCAATATTTAGACAAAACATTGCTGAAAAAGAGTAAAGAAAATATAAGGACAATACTTAATGTAAATTTCAATACACAGTAGTTATTTAAAAATAAAATCCCTATATTATTGTAATGAAAAAACTTATTCAATCAGCAATTTATTTGATTAATCTGAGAATCATTAAATCATAAAATATATTATACATTTCGCGATCTACGCGTAAACTATAAGTCTGTCTCTTTTGAGTCTTCTTGTCAAATCAATTTTTTATTGTTATACAACAATATCCTCTAATACTATGATTGTATATACGACAGGTATTGATAGCGTATTACGAAATTCAACTTTCAACATTCATCATAATATGCCGCGCTGTAATAAACCTCTACAATATATATTTTTTAAATACTTTAAAAAAGTAGAAAAGCAATATTATGGTATCAAGGATAAACATATGTAAAAATCATAAATACAATTAAATGATAATGAAATACAAAAATGTATCGATGAGAATACTCTTTTTGTCATTATTGATCCTTCCTATTCTAAAATGTCTTTATTGAGTAAGTAAGCTTTCAAACCGCATTTGATTTATGCATATATATATATATACGAGTATATATATATATCTTCAGATCGATTTAGTATAAACATAACGTAAACTAACAAATCACAGCACACACTATTGATCACAGCAGAAAATTGCATTTGAAAACTTTAAAAAAATGTTATTTAAATAAATTTGAGTTCAATGAAAAAATGTAGTATGAAAGCTAACTAACGAAAACCCAACTTATTACTGCTATGTCTTCTTAACGCGAGCCGATCTCCATACAATCGAAACATCTACGTAAGATGCGAACACGTGTAGTGTTTTCGAGGCGCGCGGGGCGGTGGTTCGGGCGGCCGGACTGCCCACGCTTCATCCAGTCAGCGCTCATGGTTATGTGCACCTGCGACTGCAATCACCTCACCGTTATAAGTCCTCAAAGTAGCCGTACATTGGAACTTGGTTCTCGCCGCACAATACCATAATATTCTAGGTTGATTCCTGTACGCGTTGTGCGGCCGATACGTGTAACCGTGCAAAGACAGCTTAGGATAGCCTGAGTGCGAATGTATAACTTTAACTGTAAAACAGACTCATTGTTAGTTTCAAAAGAATCGCTGAAAAGTTCGTAAGAAACAAGAAACAATTAGCTTTATAACGGCTGAAACTAAAAATATTTATATTAATTTAATAGAGTTTTACTTATATAATACAGTATTTTAATTATTTTTTTCGTTATTAACAACATTTAAAAAGACTATAACATTCTGCAGTTAGTAATTCAAGTACGAGTTTTACGAGTTAATAAGGACGAGCTCAACTTTTCTCTTTATCAAGCTTGTTTCGAGGTTCCATGTCGATATTACGGGTATTCTAACAGTAAAATTCAATAACATTTTTCCCGTTCCGAGAATTGAACCTAAACATAAGCAAACATATATACCATAGGATTAACAACGCCGTGAAAAAAACACAAAACACTGTACACGTAAATATCCTGAATTGATCAGAGAGAGCATTACAGACGATATGTTATACAAGATCTAATAAGTAATAAAATAGCAACATTCAGATCGTATGGTTGTTGGTTTTGCAGAAATGTCTTAACTCCGAGAATACAATCCTTTTGCCTATGGTATGAAGTCTGGCGCCACAGCCGCGCGCGCACACCCATCGCCGTTTCGTCTTGTAACACCCGTCCAGTTTGTACCAGAATCCTCCTATTTTCAACAGCGACCCGTCGTCCTCTCCACACGCGCTCGTTGACAATAATACTGCCCAACAATTTTTACACAAGCTTTGTAATCAAGATATTTTAAGTAATTTACATATTTATGTTGAATATTTTAAATAAGGGTTTTCGTCTCAGTACGTAGGGAGAACCATGCCAAGACCTTTTCGGTAAGGGCTCTCCGTCACCAGACTCCACCATGACAAAATAAGAAGTCTCTTCTAAACACGGGTTCAACAAGTGGGTGCCACAAACAACGTACCCATTTCCTTAGTCACCTATTTCATATTTGGTTTTAGAGAGACATATGATATAAACAAGTTTTGCAAACAAAAGCGGCAAACTTACTTGTGCCTAAAAAGAACATGGTCTTGGCATGGAACGATAAACTAATGAAGCTTCATTTAAAGTGAGTAGTGTCCTACCCGTCATGACATACGGAGCCGAAATGTGGACACTTACGGTACGTCTGGTCAACAAGCTTAAAGTAGCTCAGCGTGCAATGGGAAGAGATGCTCGGCGTTTCTCTAAGGGATCGCATCAGGAATGATGAGATCCGGCAGAGCACCAAGGTCGTCGACGTAGCCCATCGGATTAGCATGCCGAAGTGGCAGTGGGCTGGCCATATAGCCGCAGAACCGGCAACCGTTGGGGTAAACGAGTTCTTGAATGGAGACTTCGTCTAGACAAACGCAGAGTGGCGCAGGATGTCTGGCAGGAGCTGGATGCGAGAAGCCGAAAATCGATCTAAGTGGTGTGCAATGGAAGAGACCTATGTCCAGCAGTGGACTGGAAGTAGTGTTGGAAATGATAAAACATACGGTGTGAGTGATTAAATGGGATGGATATTTATCTATACAGAATTATTAGCGAATTGTATTATAATCACAATTTGCCATTCCAATCGGATTGGTTATTATTTTCAAACGATTTTTACTTGCCTGATACTTTCATTTTTCTATAATTGTGAAAAGAGAGATATGTACTATTTTCACAAATACACTATTTATTTCGTCACAAAGCAACATAGATTTATTCTTCATACTATATTTAATGTTTAAAGTATTACAATCAATTTTAGACTATAAGTCTTTCAAGGTATGTACGTGAGTATTTGTCCTCTTCTTGATTTTATTCAACGTATACAAATCGTCATCATCATCAACATCCTTTAGTAGTCCACTGCTGAACATAGGCCTCTTCTTAAAAAGGGGATCTAGCCAAGACGGGTTGGTATACATTTAATTTTGTGTTATAAGGTGAGCCTATGCTACTTTAATAAAATTCCATTAAATGCATTGAGCAACCATTAGAAAATTATAAGCAAAAGTATAGAATCAGAACTGCACAAATCCCAATAACGACCCCCAATGACAATATGACCCCACGAATAGAATAGAAATAAAAATAAATATCATCATCAGTATACGTGTTTATAAATATAAAAATGTATTTTAACAAGTAAACAAACAATAACTCAAAATAATAACATATAAACAATCCATATAACTTTACACTAAAACGGTGTTTAACGTACTTTGATATAGAAAATAATATTTTTAATACATATGTACTAAGTCTTCAGAGATGCAAATCAGTATATAAATAACAATAATATTAATAATTACATGTCGTAGATACGAGATACGATACTACTACGGTAAACCGGTAACAGTGCTCTACGAGCGCGCACTCTACTGTACAAGTATCTACAATATAATATGGTCGTATAAGTTTCTAATATAAAAACTATGCTCGTATATATTTCCTGTTCATAAGCCGTTATATTACTGCTACGGTCTACTCTACAATCTAATACAAATTTTGGAGTATTTCGTACATCGTCTATCAGTCGTTCCGCATACTATACTGCGGTCAATAAATATAATTTTTATAAAAAAAGCATCAACAAGACAGCTACACTATCATTAAAGCTATACAGTTTGTATACATAATTTCTAAACATTTTGGTAAGAGAATATTGCACATTCACGTTATACAATGTTTTATAATTTTATAATCATTGTTGAAATTTCTAATAAATAGCCACTAAGGCATTAAAATGCGACCTTAAAGCGTCTACAGCCACCTGTTTAGATTCATTTATTTTTCTAATATAAATATCAAGTGCATACGAGTTATCCTAAAAATCAACGTCAAATAACAGGTACCAGAAAAATATAAAAAAACTTGGTCATGTAATTTTCATATTATAAGTATAACAATATCTCAAAAACTAACACATTTGTTTACCGTTACCGTTACCAACCCTTCTATAAATTACGTATCAAATCTAAAACAACAACTGCTTAAGTTTCAAACTACATGTTAGAGTTTTGCCCAACACTGAATTCTAAATAATTACGTCACCCAACTCTTAGGGTCTCTCTTAGTTGCTCGGAGCGTGCAGGCGCTACATACGCGTAAATTTACTATATTGTTTTATTCTGATAACTGTCATGAATTGGCGTGTCACCCGTTACCGGCTTGAGGTTGATTTTTGGGACTACTGTATATTAAACATGTTTCAAAATCTAAACAAATGTTTCGATATCACACAAAACCCGAAGGGCTCCTCGTACTACCTACTTTAATGGAAGATAGATGAATAAGAGATATCCGCGTCCCAATTTTCCTGGAGTAGCTATGACGACGCGAATCGTACCTAATGCTAAGTAAACTAAACTATACACGTTCTCTGTATATAAGTATATAAATATAACCGCATTACACTAATGACCTTTGGCATATCTAAGTTTAAATTACAAGGCGTCTTTTGAATTCTTCGTAGTACAAAATTAAGTTTTATATAGTGAGGTTTCGCTCATAAGAGAAAAAACTTAATTTTATTTCTCCGTATAACCCAAAGTAGCAATTCTTTCACGTGCATGTCTCATTAGGCACGAGTAATACTTCTGCGACGCTCCTCATGCGCGGTCAATGCCTACTATCGAGTAGGCCGCGCACAAGGAGGTCGCGCCAGGCCTAGAGTAGAATCCCGGCGTGGGGCGCTGGTGGCACGAGCGGTGCAGGGGCAGCGATCACACTAGCGCCCCTTGGCGCTGGACTAGCTACAATCTTGTACTTGCCCATTGGATCCACTTGGAAACGCCTGGAGTCATGTTTCGCCGGATTATAAGTTGCAGGATGATTATGTGAACCACGAAAATACACTAAACGACCATCTCTTAAGCATAAGGCAACTTGACATCTTTCAGCTTTCTGATAAGAACGAGCACATCTCCATGTGACGCGTCGAGGATGAGACCCTCCATCCTCGTAAAAAATGTGTCCATCAGCTACCAAGTGTAAGCCTCCACGCGCAGAGCGAATGTAGAACCATCCTGAAATTAGAATATTGTTAGTCATTGTTGCCTCACTACCAAAAAGGAAAGATTACTTATTTAGCGATTGTCTTCCTGTTTTGATAAATGTTTTTAGACAAATATAATAATTATGACATAAATATTTATTTTGGAAGTATACCTTGTTGTTACCCTCGTTTTCCTCCTGTGCAATGGTTCTATTCTCATTTATTATTGGAAAAGCTTGTGTAAACACAATATATATTTCGGAGTCATTTTCTAGTGTGTTCTTTTATTTGCAATCTAGATGGTCAGACATTTCTAGATGGCTATTGAAAGTGTTACACGAAACATGAAAACTACATGGATTGTCCTGTAATTCGTTACTTCTAGTAATCATTTTTTTTTTCATTATATTAAAGTACGAATCGTTGTCCAACACGATCACAGGAAATATATTCTAAAAATGTGTCATTTAAGTTCCTTGGCGACCGACGACGCGGCGATGGTAGTTTGGTAGTGACATCCGTGCACTCCTCAGCTTTCAATAAAGGCTGTATAAGCTTACCATTGAAAGGCTTATGAAATTGTTTATATGTCTACGACTATAATAAGAGAAATGTATTCAGAAAGCCAAAAAATAAAAATCATAGGTTAGTTCAGCGCAATATAATCGTTTCTTTGTACCTATACACAAGACACGCGTCTCCTTACTACGAGCTACACAGCATAAACATTCTTTGACCGACAACTGCCGCAGCTACCTTTATTCCATAATACTTTCACGACTTAAAGTAATAATACAATAAAATATTCTTATCACAATAAAAATAATACTTTAAAAATAATACTTTCGAGGTTAACATAATCGTATACATTTCGTAAGTACCTAATTGGTGCATGGTTAACTTTCAGGTTAACATACAATTGTGACAAAACTCGCTGTGAGTACAGCTAACATCAAATAAACACATTAGTACTTTCAATTAAGAAGTGATATAAAAATGTAAATGAAAAAATCTTAAAATATAATAATTTCTCACTAAAGAAAAACTTACAACTATAACGTATACATGAGTATTATTCTTTAGTCAATTTTTCAATAAATGCAGTTTTCTACTTTAACAAGTTGTTATATTACATCCCTAATCGTATACAATGACTTCTTAACGTTCCGTTCGCATTAATGTTTAAGCGTATCCGACAACATAACTGTGACAATCGCATAGTCGCAACCAAAACCGACATTTACGGAGCAAGCACATCGCATGCTCCGACACCCTACAATTGTTCATTTTATGTACAAATCCACGAATAAAATTGTAAAAAAATAAATGTAAAAAATAATGTATAAAAATACTTAGGATATCATAAGAGAACTATCACTTTGTACAGGTAAACTACACTCAGACCGTCTTGTTCTTTCTTGTTATACTTAGGCGGGCATTATCTCTTAGGTATAAAACGAACAAAGGGGATATGAGAGAAACTCTATTGAAATTTTAGGAAATCTTCTAGTTTACATAAAAAATCTATAACATTAATGCTGGGGTCACGTACGCATAGACCGCAGTCTCAAATCGTAGAACATAGACGGTCATATTAGAACTTATAAAATAATCGTATACTTTACACAGCGCAAAAATATCTACCAAGTAAGTGTATCTACTGAATACAGTATAGTTTTATATCATAATAATCTCTTTGGAGAATAAGAGAGTAAAGGAGCAAACTATAGTTTGCGAAAACTCAATTGCGTATACATGTATATCGACAAAAGGCGTATACACTTTCCAAATTCTAAACCACCGGCAGAAAGGCACAAGAGCAATTTGACTTTCCAAACGAACGATAGGTAAATCCGTTCAAACATCATTCAATAAATCAAACACCTGATTAAATACATTTACCAACAGCACTCGCTAGGTCACTACATTCCGTTAAATTTCGAACTGAGATCAATATCTGTGCCATAACCCAACATCATATTGTAAGCCGGTGGTCGATTCGATGACGGTAAATTGACTTTTGGTCGAAAGCTAATAGCGATCGACGTACAAATGTGTCTAAAACACTAAAACATAGGCGTAAGTGGCGTAGCTCTCACTCCGCATGTGTGAGCGCTATTCATTTGTACAACACGTAGTCCAAATGTATGAACAGCAGCCCTACAGCGAGGGTTGCGGGAACAACGCCACCACACTTTACCGCTGGCTGCGCGGCCATTGAAACAAAACCTGTGCGCACCCACTTCTATAGCTGGTTTTCCTCTCTTGCTCAAACAGTAACGAAATTGTCCAGGAAAGCAAGGAAACGGAAATGGTAGACCCAGCGTCGGCGGCGGTTCAGTGTTTCCAGTGCCTGCAACTAATCACTTTACCGTTAGTATGTTCTCTAGTAAAAAACTTTTTGCTCAGCATCGTGGTAAACGGTATTACTTATTGAATAATCATAAGGCACTACTATATGGAAAACGAAATTACTCAATAATCTGTATGATTTTCTCTAACACAAAATAAAACAAATCAAGAAACTTTATTATAAAAATATTTTATTTTCTTAACGACAGCCGAATTTGCAATTTTTAACACGAAGCATTAAAACGTGTCGAGTTTTACGTGTTACGTAGACATTTTGACTAGAACTAAAAAGAAAGAATGTCAGCAACATGATTGTCATAATATAACGAAGAAAGTAAAAACAAAAAGCTATTACATACTCGTAGGTTTACTAGTATTCCTTTTTCAATGTCCCGTTCACGCGAAGTTTACGTTTACGACGTGTCGGGCGCATTTTCCGCTTTCGCATCCTAATATTATGTTCGTGTTGGTGTCCCATGCCTACAATGCGATTGTTTATTGTAACAGCATAGCATTTGCAGCCAGTATCCGACTTGATACAAATCCATGTTGATCGGCTACCGACAGTCTTTCCGGCACGCCTGAACCGCCAGCCTCCTACCACAAGAACGGGGTTGCCGTACTTAGACACACTCCAGTACACTGCAAACATATTTTTGCTAGCAATGCTGTCGGTACTCTAAGGTTTCATTGACCGCTCAATTAAAACGATTATGTGATTATGATTATAAAAAAATGTATTTAATCACGCTACATTATAAAAATATTAAGTTTATTCACATTTAAATAGTGATAGTTATTTTTTAAGATCTACAAATCACACAAATTTCAGAATAAACATCCTAAAATTATTATAAAAATTATACCAACGATGTTGACACTATATCTATAATTGGTAAATTTAATTTCTTTGTACCCGTTTGAAAAAATGCAAAAGTTTCTATAGTAACTAAAGTTAACAATATATATGCAGACAATCTAACTTTTTAAACAATTAGTGTCACTAAATTTGACCACTAGACAATCTCAATTATATATTTATATATATGTTAAGTTTGTTTGTGTACGCTTCAAAAACTCAAAAAGTTTTGCACCGATTGAGCTCAAATTTTGACACGACTTAGAAGCCGCTTCAAAGATTGTTTTATTTTCGAGTAAGTTTTATTCCTCATTTCTCATCCCTGCAACTACAATGTACCACCGCGAAGCGTGGCAGGAAACAGCTAGTTATTTATCAACATGGTTTGGTAAGACCAACATGATAGTCTAACTACATCATCTAACAGTTTCTATAAAATATATAATTTTCAGGTATTAATATTTTTATGTTTTTAAAATGCACTCAATCCGTAAAGTGGCTAAGGTTTTAGACCCAACAGAGCTTTAAGGCCCGTATATTTTAAAAGGTGTCTCAGTCGTGAATCTAGTCTTAAAACTAATTTTAAGTAGAGATTTTATTAGTGACGAGATTCACAGATCCACACTCAAGTGAGTGATAGCTTGTTCTAGAAAGAGGTTTATTACACTTGTATAACTCATGAGTGATTGATTTCACTGAACTGCATATTTGCAGTGAACGAATTGAACTAGTTTAGATGAATTAGTTCTCATTACTGATCGAGAGTTGGTGAACTGAATCTTTAATATGAACTGTGTTGCCCAAATCTAATGTTTATGTTCAAATCTTTACTCAGGTATAGATTTTGACAGCTATGATCTTTGTTTACGTGAGGCAAGCTGAAACTAGTCTCAAGCGGTGATTTCTAGGGCATTTTAGGGGAAATGAATGTGTTTTACGACGATTTGTTTCTGAATTACTTATTTACTTCTTTTATGAAAAAAATATTTTCATACTATAATCTATTCACTTTAATTGATATTAAACTCACTGCAATTCACATTTTACACACACAATACGAGTTTAAATTAAAATCGGGGTGATTTTGAACGTCTTTTATACGGGCCTTAGTGTCGAGCCCTCGTAACTTACAAGGAAGCAACCAGAGCTGTATTTGCTGTCATATACATATATATAATCATACGAGTATATGTAAATCCACTTCTGATGTTAGCCTAAACGGACGCCGATACGCACTATCGTGGCCCGATTTGGGTGTCACTATCCATCTATATTATAACAAATTGAAACAATTATTTTTTATAGACTTTCATCGAGGAAGATGGTCGCCTTCTCAATAACTGCATTCGATTCGTTTTCAATTTTCGCAAGTATGACCACGTGTCTGCTTTGCGGTCCCAGCTGCAATGGCTCCCAATTTATCAGCGCCACAGTTTGTGAGCACTTACTTCTCTCTTTTCTTTCCTTAACTCTCCATTGTTACCTGAATACCTCGCCTCAATCACGACCGAAATCTTCGGTCAGCAAACAATATGCTTCTTCTATCCCCCTCACACTTCCAACTTTATCAACTCCTCCTTCTACGTCCAGTCAGTTCTTCTCTTTAATGCCAAAATGCCAAAGCCAGCCAGCATTCAAGACAAAAGTGCGAGATCTTCTTAGGAGTGAATTGGCAGAACAGTCACAACGCTAGTACCCGATTGAGCCTTTTTATATTAAATGTATGTATGTTTATGTATATATGTCTATTTATGTATGTGTATTTATTATATTGTGTATATCTCAGGACTTCAACTACGCTAAATTTAATATTTTATTTTGAAACTACCGGATCATATCTCTACATCACTCGAAGGTTGACTGGGAGAGAATGCCTCATGGCATTAAGTCCACCTTTGTAAAACATGTGCATTATGTTTTAAATAAATAAAACGGTGCATAAAGAAGACATCACAGCTGCTGACACTATACATATTTTATTAGTTACGACAAACAAATACAGCAGAAAAAACTAAAATACTTAAAGCTAAACTATGAAATATAATACAAAATAATAATAATTTAAGCGTTCATTAAAAACAAAATCTTCACACAATTTGATCAAATACTATACGGGTAAAAATGTCTTATATTCCTTTATGTAAGGATATGCAATCACGCGAAAAATTCTACATACTAAGGGAATGCAAGGGAATAAAACATATCATTAGTACTTTGTCATGATTTTTCACAGCCTCTAAAGCCACAAATATGGCCAAAATATTTATCAGTTAAACTTATGAGCATATATATAGGAAAACAATGTCGTAAGATACATTCAAATTCTTAGATTTGACGATTATTTAAAAACCCAAAAGGTATCCTGTTTATCAACCTTTTCCCGAGGGGGATATGCCCCTGAATGATTCATTTCATTTTTCATTTTTGATTACAACAAGTGGTCTTCGACATTTCCTGTGAATACCGGCGAATGCCAATGCTTTTTGTTTTGGACTAAGCTGCCGGAATTGAAATTATCAGGAGTGAAATTTGGTTTGTGAGTGTGGTCGCCCTTCACACGGATGAAACGACCTTCCATAGTCGTCTGAACTCTGCATAAACAGCCCTTGGAATCCTTGTCACGACAGGCCCAATTTAACTTGTCCCTGTACTGATTGTTAACCCAAAACTTATTGCTTCTGAATATCAAAACCATCTTGCCAGCGCGAGATGGTAAAAAGAACGCCTCTGTAAAGATAAATATTGATTTAATTTTCGAACCAGCCATAGACATTGATACTTAATTAAAAACATAATCAATACACGAATAGTCATTAAACATTTAAGATTCCTGGACCAAAACAGGAAAAATCATACACATACGTAGCTCTTAAAAGAAACTATTATTTACTGATGAAATCAATTATTTATTAAAGCAACTACATTTTTATAACATAAATGGTAATGTTAATGCAAGTGGTTTATACAGTGCATTCTTAGACCAGACAAAGGTTTCCCTTGTCGGAGGACGGGTAAGTAAAAATTGTATAAAGAAAAACAGATAATATTATATACTATGTTCAAATATAACATTGTAAAGTACTGTGTCGTAGTTTGTTTGTTTGTCCTCAAAACGATATTAAAAGTTAATGAATTAATCAACAGAAGATTAACTAGTATAAACACAAGTTGGTATTTGCGGAGGCTTTGCTTCTCTCCTTTTGTAATAGCATATAAAAGTAGTTAAAAGGGAGTAAAATATGTTTATTTATTGTATTAGGTTTATTTATAATTGTAATGAAAGAATTTTCAATTTAATACAATATATTAAAAATAAGTGAAAATAATAACAGGTAATATGCTGCGTGGGTTACGTTTAATGAGCAATGTCTTAAGCCGTGTTTTACTCATTAATGATTTGAGTATAAGGGTATGACTTATCAAGGCCTTTCAATTATTTGTTTAAATTGTTATCATTCTTTTGGTCGTTTTGCTATAAAATTTGGGTTTCTCATGATTATGAGTATTATCGTAACGGATAACCTCGCCCTTTTTGTTAGTGCGAGCTGATGCTCTACACCCTAAGCGTCTGCGACGGGAACAAAACCAGTACGTTGATACACCCTCTGTAAATGAAAAGCCGTCGACTATCAAGTTCTTCTTCCCTCGGCCAGTCGGAATATAAGCAGCAGATATTTTTCCTATAAACATTATAAAACTACAAATCAACAATAAAAAAATTGGAAATATAATATACCGCATATTAGGTAGTAGTCTTACCCTTAACAACAAAACACACAATAAGATTTAACTATTTTATTTTTAAGAAATTCATAAAATTTGGAATTCCTTAATAGTTAAACCATCTTTATTGCACTGCATTGCATGCATAATTTACATTATATTGAGTAAACCGAAATAGGATTATTTATATTCTGAATTTTATTAATATTCATACAATATATATTTCAAATATATTAAGAAGAAAACTCATTTTACCGATCCCAAATAAATTTGGGAAAAGGGCAAGGAGATGTATAAAGGTACATTTCGCATAAACGTAACCGCAAACCTGAATTAGCACGATCCTACAAAAATACAATATAATATGGCATATAATTTAGATTATGCAAAGGGTCATATTATTCGTGATCATGTTTATCATAGAATAGCACAACATCAGTATCTATAGTATATATATTTGCAGGGCAGGTTCCATTTGTACTGGAGCACTTCCATCGCGTCTTCCCATTCGGAAATTCGCGTTCTTTTACAAACGTAAACTTTCCCGTCGAAATTTTAGGAGGTTCCCGGCGAGAATTTCTGCCGAACGTGAATAGCGCCTCTTCTTTAGAACCTGATAAAGCTCAGATATAATTAGTCACATGTAGATATTTTTAATTTAAAGCAAGTTAGGAAGCAATTATGATTTTGTGAAATAACTATGGAGTTTTTATCTCCTGTCTGTACTGTCTTTATTTTGTAGATCTTATCAGACCTACGAATTTGTGTAATGGTCTACGTGGGTGCTTTCGCCATTGCAGTATTCTGATAAACCAATACAATTCTATTCAATATTTGGTACAATTATAAGCATAACTCCTAAACGTCTCTTAAATTTTCTTCCAGCCAGAACATTTAAGAAGAAATATTTAAGCCGCAGATTGTTTAAGTTGTACTCACAAACTGATCTGAACATTGTGTGCACTAACTAAGTAACTAGCTAATAAAATGTATGAGAACTGCTGATGCTGTGAATGAGAACTGCTAGATAAATACAAATACACTGATGGACAGTAGCCTTAAACAGAAGAAACAACAGATGGCACAAAGTAGCGTGTGACTAATACTCGTTGAAAACCTCCAGCACTGCCTAAATGTGAACACGGAGTTAGCCCTGAGCTAGCTCAAATCAAATAGGTTGTAAAATATACAAGGCCGAAATTTAATACAGATCATAAACACATTTCTATTTTATACCATAAATACAACTATAGATTAATGCATAATCCCAAAAAAATAGTTTAAACTGATTGTCTTTTTATTTATATCTATTCTACAAACCTGTGTCATAACAACATTAAAATATATTGAATGTTATTAAATTATGGAAATAAAAGTAAATATCATAAATATAAACTTTAATTATTCAAATCTTAAGAAGTAATACTCTTCATAAATGTAACGATGTCTTTTATAACCGTATATATAAACATAATATCAAAATGACAGTAAATGTAAAGCACAGCTAAAATTTTCAATAGGGAATGTTCAGTACATCAATTCTATTAATTGACAATTCATTGGTCCCGTTGTTACACACAAGGCACTTTTCACCTAATTTAGAGTATAACATATACGTTCGACAAATATTAACATGTACATAATAAATACTTGAGTTTATAACCATATAGTAAGTACATAAAAATTTAGTTATAAAAACTTATTCTAGCTAATGATTAAATCTTATCACAAGTTGGCATTGACAGTGCGTGTAAAGTATTTAACGATTTATATACGTGTCCCGTAAATTCCTTAATACCTCATAGGTACAGAACGGGTTGATACCAATACCGATATTTATTTGCTCGCACAATACCTCATTACAAAAACATAAACGACAGTTCATTTACTTACTATAAAATTCTTATCATCGATATTAAAAAAATATAGGTGAATAACCACAAGCACCAAGTAGCTATAAGACAGCAATATTAAATGGAATGAAATTTTTTTGCGCTCGACAGTTCAACAAGAATACTACTGAAAAACTTAAGTCGAATGTATTACTACTATTTAAATTATTGTCTAAATTGCTTGAACAAATTTTCTTAACTTCAGTACAATATTCAAAATTAATTATTTATGAATCATAGGCCATAGGTCATTCAATCTCTGTGGATTGTATGGTTAATGCGTCGATGTTGGTGATAGTGATAGGTGTCGGCGCGGTCACTGCGCTTGGAGCGGCGTCAGTTTGTTTGCGCGCGTTCGGTCGTCGAGCAGGCAGGCAGAGAGCCCTCGGAGGGTGATTGTGCATGCCTTTTACTGCTACCACATTTGCACCGAGCATATGTATCCTGGCCTTGCAATTAGTCTTTTTGGAAGTACACCGCCATATCACTTTGTCCCTCAATTTAGATTCTTCGCAGAAAGGGAAGGTGTTCACCATCATAATCACTTTTCCGCGCCTCGATTTCAAAAACTTAATACCTGTGAGAGAAGAATAGGTCAGATAACCGTATATATATATATATATATCCTTATTTACACCTACCCATAACCATAAAACAACTAATATAAATATTAGATTAATAAATGGATTGAAATAAAACGAGCGGTTATTTATAAGTACAATTTAATATGATTTCACAAAAAACATTCCCCGTACACGAACTAAAACCCTATTATTTAATGGTATAAGTATGTATAAAATTACAATATTAATTATATAAGAGTTGTATATGAGTAGTTAACAGTGAGTGAGGTAAAAAGTCAATGAATATCGTGATCTGAAAGACCGGTGACACTTTTCGTGAGATGAAGCCGTGGCGGCAGCGCTCAACAATCAACACATCGTTCGTTATCATGCACTACCTACGAGATTCATAATATTAACAACATGAGCAAACATAGAAAAGCACTTGACTCACCGTTGATCGAAACATCCAAACATGTGCTTAAGTCCCAAACTGGCTTAAATACCGTTTATAAGGAGAAGAAGCAACGTAAATATTGGATAAACGTTTTAAACAATATTTACACAGAAAAGATGTAAATCTCGTTATGTTATCAATTATACGTATCAACTCATAACTCGTATCTTATATAATTGACATATATTGTCATTGCTCTAAAATATATTATACATATTAAAATTACCATTATTACATTTATAATTACAATCACGTACAAACTATCGCCACGGTTTCATAATAATGTAGAATTTCGCCCATTTTTTTTGGCTTAGTGACAGTTCAGGTACGATAGAGCGTGCCAAACGATCAACAAAGAACCTTCGCATGCAAGACGCTAACGAAGTTGTAAAGCTGGTCTTAGACGGTTAGGTTCCAGTCCAAATCTTCCAAATTCATACAGGTACACAAACATGAACTGGGCTACCATACCGTCAGATAGCACAATATACTAAGTTTCCATTTATTGTTATGTTATTGTTCAAAGTTTGACACAATCTATAATAACACTTAAATATAGTTGACATAATTAAGTAAAACCACACACATTCTAAGACCCCATAGAACTAAGTCTAAATAACAATTAAAAATTAGTAAAAATTTGTACTTAAATCAGAGTCATACATACAAAGCAGGTCATCGTTCCTATTAAGATTTCGACGAGCAACAAAGTTAAAACAATTCATAAAATATATTTAGACAACAGTCTCTAAATAAGATGAATTAATCGTAGGTCGTCAAAACAGTGAACAATTAGTATGCGTACAAGTAGGTACTTAAGTTAAACTAAGTAAAGAGGTAGTTGAGTTCCGATAATTACTAGAGGTAGTGACGCGACGCGCCGGACCCTGCGCGGCATGCCGCCCCGACGCGCCGCCGTTTAGTCTAACTTAACCTAAGTGCTTATCTAAAACCTTACTCGAGTAAAGCTTCTGAGTATTCATTCTTGTATATAAACATTGTATAATTAAACTAATATGTAAAACCCGTATAAAAGTGAAGAGGTAGATGATTGAGCCTAAGTACTTCAAATCAATCCTAAGAAGCACAATGCCGACTGCGGACCGCAAGTGGCAGGTGCTGCACAAGCATAAAATGCTTTGCTATTTCTACTGTAAATTCTTATAGATTAAAGAGGCGGACATCTAAATGTCAAGTAGCAATAAGTATCTGAAAAGTGTAAAGTTTTCAATTCTCAAAATAAATTAAGTAATCCTAAGTACAGTCCAGGGGACGTTATATTGCTTTAATTCGAACGAGTTTCTTCTAAATCAGTCACCGACACGTCGTCGAGGGCCTGGAATAGGCCCCCGACCTTACCGTTACACTCGGGTCGACATCTGACTCGGCTGCGTTCGCATCGCGCACAACCCTGCCCTGCTTGAAGACCAGCCTGTGAATATCGTGCATATGTCCGCCTAGCGTCTAGCCTATAACCTGATAGATTCTGCACGGGTCGTAAACATTAAATCAAACGCTAAAAGCGGCCTTGTTCCGGATTATAACCACCTGTCTAAACTTGACACCAATACGAGCTGACACCGTTATACATTCAGAAGGTTCTTAGATATATAACTAGCCCTATTGGATTCGATAAATAGCCCACACCTATACTGATAACTTACTGACCTCAACGAGATCGCTTAACCTATACGACACGACGTATTCACTCGTATTACTGGTTGTTTCCATGTTCCCGTCACTGGTCGTCAAAACATCCAATACACCACAACAACTACTTATATGTTGACATACATTCACATTACCGATATTTAATAACCAACAATAGCCATCACTAAACCTTAAGTATACAACACCTTATCCCCTCATACCTTACTTAAATGTTAACCTATTGTAAATTATGCTACATTCGCCAAAAGGCGGTCAGAAAATATCAAGAACTCCATTACTCATCAATTGCCAAAATCGCTTACCATAAATCTTGAAAGCGTTATTATATGTAGTAAAATCGATCGATGTTTGTGATAGAGCCGGAGCGTTCGTTTAATCCTCCTCGTTGCATGGGGTGTCGACCAGCAGCGGTTTAGCAGCATTAGTATGCTGAGGGGGAGGGGGTAGCGCATTGGGAGACTGCTGCGATGGAGTGCCTGTAGTAGCAGACACCGCAGCTGACGCGCTAGCAGTGGCGGTAGCGTGCGCGGTAGCAGCGTATAAAGCAAGTGCGTGCTGCAGTTGCAGCAGTTGGTGGTGAGGATCGAGAGGAGCGGGCGCGCGGTGTCCGCTCTGATGGGGTGTGCGCACCACATATCGTCCGTCTGCAAAGCGCCGAACATTAGGCGGCGCGTGATTATGTGCATACCGTGAGCGCACTATACGCTCGTGTCCTTCTGGCCCTTCAGTATTCACATCAGCGAGGCAACGTGAAGTTAAACGTGAGGAGCAGTACCACTGCTTCCTGCCATGAGCCAAGTTGTTCTTCAAACGGAAGGTGTAACCGCGATGTAATAGCAACCTCCCTTTGCCGGCGCGGATAAAGCGTGCTGGAATAGAAAAAAATTGTTAGTGACTAATTCAAAACTCATCAGGAATCCATTTGTTCCACATAAAAGGTTTGTTTTCAAAAATATCATTTCAGGTGGAACAATATTTTCTAAGTAACTGTGCACAATTAACCTATAAAAGTACTCAATTCGCTATAGATTTGCGCATGAAAAGGTTATTATTATTAAAAAAATAATACAGGTTTAAATATGTTGAATGTATTTAATTTATTTAAATAAAATACTGTTCTGTTCAATATATTTATTTAGCACATTTACACGTAATACGATGGGTACATACACAATTCTTCATAGCTTCTGTTTTTGTTCCACAGGACTACTACATTACTAAATAATCGCTACGAAGACATACAACATACTTCTAAAAGACTCTCTGAGAGAAATAATATTATGAGCAAAATTATTTGGCACCTAACACTTTGGCATTAATTTATTAATGAGCATTCTTCATCCATGTAACAAAAGTCATCAAACAACATAAACAAATAGTAGGTAACAATTACAAGGAAAGAAATAGGCAAGACCAGACTCGAGCCACATCAAACTATACATCCTACATCATATTTACACTTTATATTTGCCATGAGGTAAAATGAGAGGTTAAATGTAGAAGTTCGCATTTTAATTTTTGAAGTTTTTACGCGTATTTAATATCATTAAATTTATTTGGCACCTAGCTTACCAATAAGTTAGCTTACACTCTAACGTCACTTTAGACCGTCTTGTTAAGTTGTAGTTTTTTTTCAATGTTTTTTGCAATGCAAAAACGTGCTTAAATTACTTCTAATTTGCATATTGCGAGAGATTCTGATCTGTTTGTTAGAAGTGTTTAGCTCGAAAGGTGTACCGAAATGTAAAAGCTAAACCCGCCCCGTTTATAATAAAGTATTACAGTCAACTCAGAGCGGATAAATATTTTAGCATTTTTCTTTGTCTACACTAACACCTAGCGGTATTACGGTTAGTGTTAGTACAGGCTGGAGCTGGATCATACTGTTGTGGCTTTTGCATTAACTCAGTACGTAATAGAGAAAATATAGACGACCTAAAGTTAACTTTATAACTAGCAAAAGATCAACGTGTACCTATATCCAAAAACACGCACGGTAGCACGATTAGTGCAGTCGCTCTTAATCACGCGGACGCCGATAACGTTAGGATTTTGAGCTCTATGTTAATGAAACAAATTTTATATGTTATTAATATTATAAAAGTCCAATTTGCACTCGGTCTCAGTTGACCCTTACACTTCATTTTCATCGAATGTTATATATTTTATTGAATTTCACGTTCAAAACAAATTAACGAGAAAGGCATAAAACTCACATGCTATCCTTGTACCACTCTAAAAAGTACATTTTTTATTAGACATCTGTAGAAATATTATTATTTTCGTTTTTAATAAACACTTGATCTGATTACTACTTGATATGCGGCTACAGTACTGCGCTTTTAATTTTCTATTAACTAATATCGTACAACCCAGGCATTAGGGTCAAATTTATCAAAATCGAGGTCAGGCAAACGAGGAAGTACTGAAGGAGTCGGAGGAGAAGTGGAGGATGAAATAGAAGGTGGTGCTGACACAGAATTCAGGGACTTGGCGGTTTGTCGGCGGCCGCAGCGGCCGGCATGGTTGTGGTCTCCAACTAGTTTGTGTAATGTTCCTTTTTGAGTGTACGCTTTGCAGCCGCAACCACCCATCGTGCACCGCCAACGCACGACGCCTGAGCGCATAGTATGAGCCGCGTAGAAGCTGCGTCCACGCACCCAGAGTCGTGGTCGGCCGCCCGGCCCAACGCACAGACGCACGTGCTTTCCTACCGAATTAAAAAACTTTTAACATTATATTAAATATACTTTTCACACAAAAGTAGCACGTAGCAACATGCAAATTACAGGTCTAAGGTTACCAAAACCGTAAGCAACGTTACCAGTTCCAATAATTTGTTAGAAAAAGAAAATATGAAAATGTTATTATTATTAGTAACAACTGTCAAAGCACAATAATATCAGTTGATTACTTCAACGAAAATTAAAACAATTAATAAATTCTAATATTACGTACATTAGTATTATCTAAATGAGATGAAATATTAATATACTACTCCGCAATTTATGACTATGGCAATGTTATTAACAAATAATTATTGCTAACCGTCGAGTAACGCTTTACGGTAGGTTGCAGCTTTTGTTCACCTAGCTTTATCTATTTTAGACAACACCGACAGATCGTTAAATTCGTTCATAGGGCCACGGTCACGACTACAGCAGCGAACGAGTGAACATTAGAGGCTTCAACACTGTAGTGACTCTGACGACAAGCGCGGCTATCGCTATTGAAAGCTCCATCACACAATGCTGCAAAGCAACATTACACCCAGCTCATGTTGACGTTCAGACTAAGTTAACAACAAGACAATATTTGAATGCAAAACTTTCTACTGCTGCTATCACTCGAATGCTGCTGTAGGCGCCACAAAGTATACATTACACATCAGTTTTGCGGTCAATTTTATACTCAATAGTTTATTTCTTCCATAATGTAAATTGTACATTTGGTAAAAACTCAAGCTAGGTATCATTTAAAAAAAAAAGAAATAAAAAAGCTTTTATTTATGGACCCTGTCAGGCACGGCATAAAACAGAGAGAGATAGTGGTATTATTTTTAGTTAAATTTATATACATAATCAATATTTTTTATTTTAATATTTTGTAATTTATTGCACTATTTTATATTGAATTTGATTACATTGTTATATCTTTATTATAAAGGTAACTATTATTTTATTTATTTGTTAATTGAACTGGGTTTATAAAGAATTTTACTATATTGTTATATTTTTATAATAAAGGCAATTATTATACTTATTTGTTGATTGCACTGGGTTTATAATGAATTTGACTATATTATTATGTATTTAACATTAAGTAATCATGGTTAATCCGATCCGGACAAAAATGAATGTTGCTATTCAACAGAACGACTTCCTAGGTAATTTCGCATCGACCTATCTCCATTTCACATTTTATGATCATAGATACACCATTTTTCTACAGTTTTAGTTAGTAATTATTTTAAAAATACGCTTTCTCCCGACAATTTTAGTGAAAACCCCTAAGGTGATAATACCGTTTACACGCTTCCTGCAGATAAATGTTTCATTTGTAGGAGGAGCGATAGAGTTCAATTAGTGGTGAAACAAAAAAAGCGTAAAACTAACAGCAACCAGTGTAATGAGCACTTGAAGGATCAAGGATCCCAGGAATTTATGGGCTATGTTATTAAGTATCTCTATCTTCTTGAATAGACCAAGCTATAATCTAAAACTTTTCGAACTACATGTTCTGTGTATTCCATTGAATTTAATAATAAACATACCATACAATACGATATCACGATTCAGTGACAAAATTATTTTACTAAGTATCGTACTGTGCTACACAACCCTTATCGAATCGGCCCTAATCAATATTTCTAATTCATTCATTCATAAACTTATTAATGCCATTGAACTATACTTTTAAAGCTACTGAAGGCATCTGATCTATTAGATACAGAAATAGTAAAAAGATTCCTTTTACTTTATTTTCCAAAAAGTTTTAGATCACTTAATAGTGAATGTACTGATGAATATGGAATTCCTTATGTCACTAATATTCCACTGCAGCTCAAATTAACGACCAATATGCAATTGGAATTTTATGACTATAATTTAAACTTAGAATGTTTACAAACAACATTAATAGTAGCGCATATTAAAAACTAGTTTTGGGTACCTCATATTTTCGAAATCATTAAACCCAAATTTACAACTCGTAAATAAAAAAATTGCAACTTGCAATAGTTTTTTTTTTATGACATTGGTAATAGATAATCATAGCTTGTTAATTTTCATAACAGTAATACTATTTAATATACAATGAGATCGTTATAAAATTTCATGACTAGATAGTTTTGACAACCATATGAGACAAAAATAAGACCAATTTACAATGCTCTATTTGTACACATGGCCTCAAACATAATGCAGGCTAGTTAATTATTTACTATCAACTATCAGTCCCACGTGTTACCGCCTTCATGCTCCCATTGCATTCAACATACAACATGACGTTACAAGTATTAAGTCTATCGCTATTTTCACGTTCAAGTAAACCGTGTATAAAGTGACGGTTTATTGATTTCAATCGCGTATCAAGCAGATACTAAAAAATAAATTTGTGATTAGTAATAGCGATACGTTAGTAATCAATGGAAGAGGATTAGAGCAGTGCATTACTCGTCGAGAAGAGCCTTGGCTTGAGTGGCGATGGAGGCGTGTGTGAAATTGCGAGTCGTCGTTGGTACAGCTGCGGGTGGTTCATGAGAGTGGACGTTGCTGATCGCGAAAATGCGATCATGCAATGTGTGTGCATACGCGCGACATGTTCGCCGCGTACACCTCCAGCGCACCTTATTCTTCTCAGGAAACACCTTCTCCGCATAAAACGAAAACCCACCAAGCCGCATATGGCGACGGCCGCGGTTGGATATCACGAATTCCACTGTAAAATGCCAATACCATAACTATCCCATAGTACGTTTTAATGAAGGCATGCATATAATTTACAAGCAAAAACGGTTATAACAAGGATTACTTTTTAATGTTTCGTAATAGAAATTTAAAATATAATTTCCTTCGATAAAATCATGTAATTAAATCATCGGGAGATTTACAAATGTCAAACACATAGAACATGCACTGGTCAAAAAGTAATACAAAAAAATAACAAAGAATTATTTTCCCTTTTTATTATCAATTATTGGCTGCTATAGTTTCTATAAGGCTTTCGATGCGCGCATGTTCGTCGACGGTGACTTCGAGTGGTGGGTGCGTGTGATTGCCGACACGTGCTTTAAGTCGACCGTGCGCTGTGAGAGCCCGTGCCGGGCAACCATGCGCGCGACTGCGGCATGACCAATAGACTCTCGGGCCACGTCTTTTACGCGCCACGTAACCATGGCCAGCTACCACCAGGGACGGCGCTCCTCGCCGTGTTACCGTGTAACACACCTGCACCTCGCCAACTCCTGTTGCATTCAGCAGTATGACCAATCGTAGATATTGTTTAAAAACAAATAAATACTCTAGTTACGAAGACATTATGTACGAACAACTTTTGACAAAATAATAAGTATTGAACAAAAACTGATTTTTAGAATTTATTTAAATCTTACAATAATGCCCTTAAAAGATATTTGATCACAATGTTTAGACAAACTAGACAATCGAAATATTGATTACATCATACATATTCATCTAACTAATTTGATCACATTTGATCATGCATGCAAGAAGTAAAAACTACAATGAATACTAAGCATATTTAATATCTAAAAAACTAACATTACTTTTAGAAAAATAAGAATTACTATTTTGGGAAATGTATTCAAGCACACTAGAAGTTTCAATTGTCTCATTAATGTTCATTCAACATTATTTTACAATTTTTACACCAAACCAAACAAGAATGGCAGCATTGCATAATGGAAAAACAATCGCAACGAAAATTTGTTAAACAGTAGGACAAGTTACTACTTTGCCTAATTCATATTTACGAGTAATCTTTTCCATATGGTTTTCGATATGATTGTGGACAGGGTTTGTTATCTTTAATATATTATTTTTCGATGTTATTCTTGCTCGACAACGTTTTCCATAGTCCATGCACCTCCAAAACGTTCTTCCGCTACGTACACTGTCAGTTACAAATATATATGGTTCATAGATTAACTGAAGATGACCACTTTTTGTTTCAATAAAATGAAGAACACTCTTAATGTTGCTGTTTAATTCTCCCATAACTGGAAATGAATATTTAGTTAGACTCTAGCAATAATACAATTAAATTTCATGATAGATAAATAAAGTCAATGAAACACTGGCATTATTGTTTTCATATACATTTTTTTTATGTTTCTTTTATTAAATTCCTGTATAATGTAGCAATTTCCAAGCAGTAATGACAACATACCCAGATAATTAAATAAAGTATTTGCCAAATGATAGTAAATAATTGTTAATGTCAACAATATATATATATATACATGCATATATAATACAGACTGACTGGCAGGAAGTTTAAGATACATTTAAATATAATACAATAAAAATATATTTTTTTAAATAATCATGTAACATCAATTTCTTTATTATTTTACATTTTTAATAATACTTACTTACTAATACTTATAAACACTTAAAAATAATAAAATCCATGTCTGTTTAATTCATGATATTGTTTTTCATATATTGTCACTAATGTAAAAAATTTATAAACAGTTTTTATATATTCATCAGTATAATAATATATTATCTTCATAATCCTCCAATTACATCTGCATTTTTTTATAATTGGATATTATTCTATACATGCTACTAACTACAATCTCCACTAAGTCACACATATTAGACAATTACAATATTATTAAAAAGTGATACATAATCCAAATTGGTGTATGTACATTTTATGTATATAGTAATGATAAATGTGTAAAGACTTTATAGTGCTCAGGATCACACATGGAGATAAGATAAGGCATTTGATTGAAACAATCAAGTTACCATTTATAAGTGAATTGATTGAAGTTTTTATAATTTGTTATAACTAACTATTATTTATATTTTGTTATTAGCTATCAGAATGGTATTAACAAACAAATAGTTGCAACAGACAAAAAAAATCTAAACCTTAGAAACAAACTAACATGTAGATGGGCACACTTAATGCATCCTTTGCCAATATATAGGTATTACTGTCATAAGTATACTTTCAAATTAAGAGTAATTTTAATGTTCAAAAAGGTACAGTTTTATGTTGGTTTGTTTGCTTAAATGGGCCTATATTTTGAATTGCTTGTGATGATGACATAAATTATTTTTGTACTGCTCAAGGTAGCAATTCATAAAGCGGGTTCTATGGGACCTAAAGCTCATGCCACTGTCACACATAATGAGCATAATGGCTGTCAGACATGAAAGCAACTGGAGATCTTGTATATTTATTAAGTTTATTGAAAGTTAAATATTTTTTTATTAATTTTCCCTTCACATCCTAAGGAAACCTAGGTAGTGCATAAGAAATACAAAACTGAGTTTGCCCATGAATGTAAGGTTTTATAATTTTTTTGCATAAATTTGATGTAAACCAGGCATGGGGATTAGGGAGGTAAGCTAAGTAACATCAAGCTAAAACCTCTTTTTTTTCTATGCAGAAATCCCCTCGGAAACCACCCACTGGACAACTGGTAGGGTGGTTATATTGGACTCGGACCAACTAAAGCTAAAACCCCTAGGAGTGATATAGTTGAGTAGGAATATTACCAATTGCCTTATATAAAAGAAAAGTAATTTCTGTATTTAAGCATAGCAAGTAAAACCTCTTTTCTAAGGACAGGCTTATGTCCAGCAGTGGACTGTTAAAGGCTGTTGATGATGATGATAATGAAGCAAAATAAACCTTGTACAATATATCTTGTACTAATAACCTTCTTATAATCACATTATCACATCAACAGCCTATAATAGTCCACTGCTGGACTTAGGCCTCACCTTAGAAAGGAGGTATTGGCCTACTATACCATGCTGGCCAGACGGGTTGGTATAGGGTTTGTTTCAAGTTTTCCTTCTCTTCTTATAATAATCCCTGTATTAATAGTTAAAAGTACTTAATAAATTCCGTGTGGTGACGGATTAAGAATACAGAGTGTCACCACCCCTATTCATCCCGTGGGTGTCGTAAGAGGCGACTAAGGGAGCAAACTACGCAGGATAACAGCACTGCACAGAGAAGGAAAACTTGACACAAACCCTATACCAACCCGTCTGGCCAGCGTGGTATAGTAGGCCAAAACCTCCTTTCTAAGGAGAGGCCTATGTCCAGCAGTGGACTAGTAAAGGCTGTTGATGATGATGATGATGATGACTTAATAAATAATTTACACAAAACACATACACATACACATATGTACTTCATTCTAAATATGTTACATTCATAGTGAAATACACCTAAAATAAGAGTAATTAATTACAATTATCAAATTATTGTGTTTGTACAATTAATACAATTATTGTACAATTAATTATCAAATTATTGGGTTAAAAATTGTGTGTGCCTTCAAATTTTCTAAAAAAGAACAAATCAGCCAAGAATAAAAGGAAATATACTATGACGTGTTTTTAAGTTTAGACTAATAATATGATTGTTTGATGTGGTGTTTTGATATTTAACCATACACAAATAAAACACTAGGAGATGCTGAGATAAACCTGAGTTAATCTCTATTACTTGATTCTGTACTGACAAGATTGAATTTAGAAATTACACATTAAAGTGCTGTGTATTTTTTTATCTAAGACCCATTTTAAGGCTTTATTAATAAACGTGCAAATTGTTATGTAACTGCATATTAAAATAGATATCATGCACTGTAATTGAAAATGCAGAGTAATTTCGTGATACTAAACATTGTACTCCATTTCTAGGTTATGTTTACAAGCTGCTAAATATAGAGCGTGGTAAATATTTTTATTTTTAATGGCATATATGCACTTAATAAATTAATAACGATAGTAATATATCACACTACTTACATCAACAAATTACAAGATATTTTGCTAAACTTAGGAATTACGTTTGTACGTCGAGTGAGTGACAACCTGCATTCTTGTACATGTCGTGTTACTTACCAGTAATCAGAAAAAGAAATAAAAAGTACATACCAAATGAATATCCTGCACAAAAAGCTATGTTACCTATTAACACATATTAACTATTAACACTTAAAAAGCACGACACAATTTGAAACATCACGTAAACACCTCCAAATATGACACGATAACATGTCTCATAAACTTCACTAGATTAAGATCCAAAACAGTTGCACTGCAGTCCTCAGTTGATAGTCCACTGATAATAAACACGTATAATTAATTATTATCACAACAAACTTTCATTAATTCCCAAAATAGTAAACAATCTCCGAGTGACACAATTGCAACCATAGATCCCACGGCGTTAAGACGGGCGACCACAAATAACGGAATGACGTTCCGTACTACGCAAAATACTAGAATAATTTTCATTACATCGTCGTGAATACAAACACATGGCTATTTGCGAATGAAAATAAAACACAAAATAATAAATCTGTTATTTGAAGATTCTAATGTGTACAAATACCTTCACAGGAATATTATATAATGCTTTTCATTCTTTACAGTACATCTATAGAAATAATGAAGGTAAAAGCTGTTTGTGTGATTTTGAAAATTGGTATTATTTATTACAATCTAATTTATTTTACTGTTGCTTATTTATTTATTAATCTAACAAATTTTGCAACATACAATATGAGCTTCTGAAAGTGTAAATATATTTATGATTTGAATCATGTGAAATAATAGGAACGTTGATTGTTATTGTCTAATTTAATCACAAGAGGACGCTATTCTAAATCTAAATTTTACG